AGCTTAGCAGGTCGTTAATGAATATCAGGAAGAGGAGTGGGCCTAGGATGGTTCCCTGTGAAACTCCTGAAGTGGACACTCTCCAACTCGCGTGCACCCTGTTTACCTTGGTGCGAAACTTTCTATTCTCAAGGTAGTTTCTGAGCCAAGATACGAGTGGGTCAGTGAAGCCCATTTCCACAACCTTTTCGATTAGGCGTGCGTGGGGCACTGTGTCAAAGGCTTTTGCGAAGTCGAGAAATACTACGTGCACTGGTATTTTACGGTCCAAGCAGGATGTCCAACTGTCCCATGCGATGAGAAGATTAGATGCACACGACCTGCCTTTCCGAAACCCGTGTTGAGCTTCATGGAGTATTTTATTCTTATCCATGTACTCCCTCATTTGTTCGTCCACTAGCCCTTCCATAACCTTTGATAATATAGGTAGTAGTGCGACTGGTCTGTAACAGGCTGGGTCCTTTCTATCTCCTCCTTTGAAGATTGGAGAGAGAGTAGCTTGTTTCCATTCCGCTGGAAATTGGTGTATCTCCAGTAAACGCCTAAACAGGTTGCATAACGGTGAACAGAGGGCTTCAGCGCACTGTTGCAAGACTATAGGGCGGATTTTGTCACAACCTGGTGACTTACCTGGGCGTAAGGATTTTAGTTTCCTTAATACTAGGTCAGGAGTGATACGGATGTTCCCTAAGCCGTCAGCTGGCATTGGGTTGGCGTAATACTCTGAACATGTAGGCGCCTGGTTTAATTGATCAGAAAAATGGGTGTTGAAGATCTCGGCCATCTCTAGGTTGGTAAATTCTTCTCCGTTAGACCCTTTTAGGGAACACAACCCTTGATTAGTAGGTTTTCTTTTGGACATGAACCTAAACAGATGTTTCTGGTTTGCCTCTATTCTGGCGGCTAGCTTCGTCTGGAATTGTCTCCTGTCGCTTCGAACTTTGGTATTGCATCTGTTTCTCAATGCCAAGTAAGAACTGCGATCGGAATCCTTCAAGGAGACCTTCCACTTGTGCCAGGCTTTCCTCTTCGCCTGTAGCAAGCGTTTCAGGCCGCGCCTAACCCAGGTTCTTCTATTTTGGCGTTTTGGGTGTGACTGAGGTACGTTGTCTACGACGGAGTTTTGGATGATATCTCTCACTGTTTGCCAGTGATCATCTACTGTCAGCCTCCACCACTCCCGTGGTCATGGGGCATGTAGGAGCACCTCTCTCATGCGTGTGTAGTTTGCCCTACTGTAGCAAAGGTAATGCTCGTTATCGTCCGGTGTCAGCGTTTCGTTTGTGACCATGTTAAACAGGACTGTGCCATGGTCACTGCTACCTATTGGAGCGCGGATGTGAACATCCTCAACCAGAAGCTGGTCGTTCGTTAACAGATAATCTAGGTTTGAGGTCTTCCCTTCCTCAGTCCACCTAGTGGCGCTGCGTACGTGCTCAGTCAGCCCAGAGCTTCTAATGGCTGTACCAAGTTTTCTTTGGAACCGACCAGTGGGAGTTATACTCTGATTGCTGAGATTTAAAGATGGGGTATTGAAGTCTCCGGCTAAGAGTATTTGATCAAACCCTAGGAGTGGCAGTTGCAGAATTACCTCAACCAGTTTGCTTTTCTGGGCCCTAGTACCCGAAGGAGGTCGGTAGATCCCGCCAATCAAGTATTTCGTGCCATTTGAGTGGAACCAACACCAACATGATTCTGTCACCTCAGTTAGTTGGGTGTTGTATAGCCGCTCTGCTTTTAGGTGGCTATTTACATATATAGCCACTCCACCTCCAGTTTGGTGTTCCCTATCGCTTCGGAAGAGTGTCATGCCTGGCAAGCCCACTTCTGCGTCTGCAATGTCAGGGGATAGCCATGTTTCTGTTAGGATTATGATCTTCAGATCCATCTGAGAGCGCATATCCCTGACTTCTAACAGCTTACCCCTTAGTCCTCTTACGTTGCTATAGAGGCACTTGGTGGTTTGTCTCTGAACCTGGTGCACATTTGCAGCATCAGCCTTAGTCGGGTTTTCAGACAAGTTATTTAAACCGAGTCGGCCAGTTCTGTGGGAACTGGCCTCTGCAGGTTTTTTGCCTGCGCGGTTGTTTCACTCACATCTTGAGCCAGAGGTAGTTGACCGAGTTTTACTATCAGCTGTGTGCGTTCATTTTGGCCTCCCTGTTGTTGTCTCACTGATCTAGGTCGGCTCTCGCAACATCTGATGTGGCTAGGTAGATCGTTCTTCGAACTGTACCAAGCTTGTAGTGTTTCGGTCAGGTCTTCCCGGTTCCTGAGTGTTACAGCTATCAGGCGTGGTGACTTGATAGACGTAAGGTGTGACGGGCGGGGCAACCTGGAAATGCAGACTGCCATCGTGGTGTGGAGGGATAGGCTACGCGATAGCCATCGCCACTGTTGCACATCGTGCTCGTGAGCTTCGTCCGGGTTACCGCTGGTGAGTTCGGGTATGCCGTGAACTACTATGGTGGTCTGTTCTTGGGTGTCTGGTGCAGTTCTGGCTGCTGCACGTACCGACCACGGCTTGTCATGCCTGATACGAATCAGCGAGGACAATTTGACCGATGGTCTTTGGGATGAAAGGATTATGTCTTCAGCTAGTCGTGCCGAGTCAAGAGTTACCCTCATGTGAGGGGGTTTTCCTTTCGAGACGTTATGGCCTTTGAAAAGGCGACATATTTTAGCTGGGACCTCGCACATTCCGAGGGTGGAGCAGAATTTATCCCATTGCTCTTTGTCAAAGGCAGCCCTACCTTCTAGCAAGCTTCCTTCCGACACTGGGACATTAAATAAGATAAGTGAGTTAGATCTGTTGTCCCTGGTCTTGGCTGGAGGCTGCTTGTGAGTTGGGGTGTTGCTCTTTCCCTTCTTCACGTTCACCGATTGTTTCGTGTTGCTGGCAGATACTGGGGGTTAACAACAACCGGCAGTTTTGTCCGTGTGTTAGGCAGAGTTTTGGTAGCCTTGGTCACTTGTTTTACTGGTTTAGTGCCAGGCGATTTTGCTTTGGTCGTTTGGACTTTGGGGCTGATTTTAGGTGGGACCTGTGGCTTTATCAGTGCTTCAGAAACTCTACACCAAGGGCAGATGTACCAGAATCATGGGCAGAAGTGACTCAGCATGAAACCGTAGTACTCTTTAGGTACTGTATTGTCGCAATGACAATGTACCCATGTACTGCAGAGGTTGCATTCGAATGCACGGTCGCTGGTTTTGACTGGTGATGAGCAGGCAAAACAGTCGTCCTTATGCTGTTTCTGTGTCGATCGAGCCTTAAAGCGTCTTTTCCTCCTATTCTTAACTAACTTACTGGTCTTTCTAGGAATAGGGGTGGTGTCTTGCTTCCTCTGTGGTGTCTCAGTTGAGTGGTCTAAAGTATGGACACTGAGGGGCGTACTATCGACTGACCTTTTGGGTTTTTTAGCAACCCGTTCGCACGATATTAGAATTTTCCATGCACTATCGACCCCGCGGTTTATGCCTCTATAAGTTTTCCTAGTTGTTACAGTGTAAAGTGTACTAGAGACCTTATTACTTGACATGATGCCTGGGAGGTTAGGAGGTGAATACCGAGATTAGAATACGAGATACACAAAATTAGGATACGACATGCTCAAAAAAGGGGTTTACGAAAGAAGAAATTTAGTAGTATATCATAAAACTACAAGGAATAGAGCCTGAAAGTACTCCGAAATTGCAACTTTACCTTTGACCGTATTAGTAAGTAACTTTGCGTGTATCCAGTAACTTGTACACAAGTCCTGTGTTTGTGAGTGAGCGGATGTATGTATGCTGCCGAAGCAACTAGAAATAGAGCAGTTGAATGAGGTAGCTAGACCTACCGCGCAATGGTTCTGAATTGGGATGGTTCCGTATTCCCGAAAATGTTTTCAGATTGTCGACCAATGAATAGAGACAACTTTTTATAGCTTCGGAGGTGATAAAGTATCCCGAAAGTGGATTGTTTTCCGTAAATGGAAGAGAGTCAGTGAGGACACGTCAGATTAGAAGCGCGCGCAATATAATCTCAACACATTTCCTGATGTAGAACGATTGAAAATTAACTTCAGCCCACAAAAACTGACACGAATACCATAAACGTGGTGAAAAGCAGCGATTAATAGGTCATTTATAGCAACAGCAATTCCAAAGCAAACGAATTTAAACGCCGGCCTGTATATGGCTAAAGGTGATGTCACAAATGATGCACATTCCACTGTTATTGCTAACATCCGGTTGCTCTCCAAAATGACTAAGGCCACCCACATTTTGCAGTCAGCAACAAGGATTGTACAAATCGGAATTTGTAAGAAGGATGAATAACATGAAAATTGTTGACCGAGAATGGTTGTAACTGATCTTCTCCATGCAGTTCTCTGCAAGAAAAAAGGAAGTTATACAGATGAAGAATATATGATAGAACATTATGTAGCGCTTAGAAAATATTCGCGTGTTATTTTATGAAAATTGCATGAAGCAATATGTCATGTTCTAATAAGCCGAAATTCTGAAGCTTCATTTTTTTGTGAGCGTATAGTAATGAATCAGCGAGGCCATAATACTCTATAAAATCGGGCCACATTTATTATGTAAAAAAATTGCATTTCGTACCAACCAAGTACGTACAGGTTTCAGCTAACGTTGGTGAAAGAAGTCTGCCGGTTACCATTTGCATTAATGACATGGTAGGAAATTTCCGGAGTGCGAAATGCGAATGCGTTGCTTTGAAAATATCTACAAAAGTCGATGTGATAAAAGCTTTTACATACCAAATGCAAAGTTTGTAAGATAATGTTGCATTTCAACTTTTACAGATCTGCTGATTTGTCAAAATCATGAATAGCTTTGAAACTAAGGACAAAAGTATCTGAATTTTCAACCAACTTTTCATCCTATGTATACGGCTCGAATGTGAATCTCATTCGAAATTTCTGAAGACAAATATTCAGTCGCTCACTTGTTTTTTTGCATCGTTTGTGTGTACGCTTTAACTGTGAGCATGTTCAAATAAGCCCAAATGAGAGGGTTATTCATCCTACGGGAGAAAAGTGGAGTTGTTTTTAGGAACAACCCTGTTCATAATTCAAGGGGGTAAATTGCTTATCTAAGTTTAAATCTGAAAAAGCAACAATAAAAATTAAATGTTTGCCCTTTTCTGAAATACGGAGGTGCTTATGATCAGGTCTAAAAATTCGGTGATTGTCTTATCATAAAATAAGAATTAGCACTGTATAACCTCTTATTATACGCAATATATTAACTACTTCTTGTATATGGATTCTTTTCAGCAAATGACATGATCGGTTAGACTTTACTGTCTTGTATTTATATACGAATATATTTATCGTAGTATATTTAGTAAAATTAGTTTCTCATTCTGTTTGTCGTTCACGTCAAATAAATTTTATATCTTTTGAAATTATTCATTATTAATTAGTAGACATTTTAGGGTTAGGTTTATAAATGATGCCGTCAATGTCGCTTGGTTACAGTGTCTCTATCTCTGACTGAGAATCATCTGAAATTGACTTCCTAATGTGTGTCGCCGTCCAAAAAACATACACGTAGTACTTCTCACTAACTCTGAGCTCTTTTACTGCAGTTTGTTCAGGCTTGTCGACATTTACGACTTTCGTACTTCTATGATCTTTGTCTCACGTTTCCTACTAAAAATAACTTTCACGGCAAGTTGTATTCGGGTTAAAGTACATGAATTATATGTGGCTTACCTATAATTTGTCTTGAAATTATCTTATCTAATATTGTATAACAGCCTGGAACGATACACTTTTCAGGTTCTAAGTTGTGTATAATAATGAGGCAGATTGTTATCTATTAGTTAATGTCGTCCGCTATTACTGAAGTGAATAGTCGGGAAGATGTACGGGAAAGTGTATTAACATAGACTTGTAAACCGAGTTTATTAAATATCTGACCTTTTTACCGGAGTCAAACCTACATTTTTAGGGTCATTGATAAATAATCAAGTACATACTAAATTAGAGCTTCAAATATTTTATATTTAGTTTCGAACCATTTGATTGAGATAAAAATTTAAAGTTGGATCAAACTTTATAACATGAGGAACTGTATTTATTGGATAAATCTGTACATATATAACTTACTGTACTGCCTGAGCGTAGCTGCTACCTTGACGTGGTGGTCGGGCTTGCATATCGTGATGACCCAACCGAGCTATATTGGCTGGAACATATGTTCCTGAAGGTTCTACCATGCCAGGCTGGTCGATTGGAGAACGATGAGACTAAAAGCAGCAACTCAATGTCTGAGGTTGAAGTCGTACTGCTGACTGTGATGGAGCGGTGTGACAGCAGTAAGGTGTTTCCCTCGGACAACCAGCATCCGCAGCGATGCTGCCTTCTCACAAGGAAGGAAGGAAGGCTTAGAAAAGGTCGAACCTAAAAATGTCACACCTCACCCTAAATCATGGATTTCCGTCTCCGGCAGTAAGGGTGCCCACTAAGGGCTTTTAAGAGCGGAGCTAATACTCAAAAAACCTTTCATAAAAATGCCGTGCGTGACCGGCCTCAAGCAATTGTCCCTTGGGTTCTGCTGTCACGCTCCCAGGTCTCTAAGACCAACACTAATCTATCTTCCTTTTCAGGTCCCTCAAGAAACAACCTTCCATGGTGTTGGCAGCCGGAAAGTGACAACCACCTTCATACCCGTAACAGCACACGAGACCGAATTGGTCGAAATCAAATCCTCCGTACATCCACTCATACCTCTCTTATCTCCACGACTAACTCTTCTCACATTCCTTCATCTCACTTCATCGCTAATGCAAACGATGCGAGTTCACGAAACGTCATTTCTGGTCTCTTGAAACCTCGTTCTAGACTACATGTTGGGGCTTTTAATGTACGGACATTGTGCCAGATAGGGTAACAGGCTTCCTTAGCTAGGACTCTAGAATCTCGCCACATCAATGTATGCTGCGTCTTTGAAACGTACATACAGGATGCGAGTAGAATCATTTATTTGACCTCTCCTTGTCAAAATAAGGAAACGTCTCGATTTACTCTTGGTGTGTCTGGAAGCCCCACCGCTGTTCCCTGTGGCCCTGCTAGTGTAGGTAAAGCATTGAGTTCTGAAGCATAACTAGCTTTAGAAGACCGGATCCGGGATATGCTATTTTCGAAAATAGGGTATGATTTCGACTGTTTATCAACAGATATGGATGCGAAACATTGCCGGTAAGATTAGAAGACATTCGCAGGTTATTAGTATTCGATTATAGATGTCTTCGAAGCATTGCTCTATATCCTGGGACACTCGAGTGAGCAACGCTGTTATTAGGAAACGTGTGCTAGGTAAGAATGGCAGATCAGTAGATGAAGTAATGAAACTTCATCAGTTGAGGTGGTTAGGACATTTGCTGTGTATGCCTAACCACCGACTGCCTCGACGAGCTTTGTTTTGTAGTCTAGGAATAGGTTGGAAGAAAGTTAGTGGTGGCCAGACCAAAACATGGCAGAAATCCATGAAGTCATTGACAAGTGGACTGAGTCATGTCGGTAGTTGTCGACTACCAAGTTGGGGTCCGCGAGATGATAATAATCGATGGTTAGAGACCTTGAATGACATGGCTCTAAACCGTTTGCAATGGCGCCGGTGCATTTATTCTTTGTGTTCTCTCAAATCCTAATCTTCTGGATACTCCAACCCCTCTAGTTTTGACTTTCTAATTTTTTCTCACTCAGTCATACTTCTTGAATAATATCTTCTAATCCTAGTCTTCTTCATTACCATTAATACCCCTACTATCTTTATCACTATGGGATTTGATTTGACATTTGCGTCTCTGTGCTGATGTGGTATGGCGACATGAACTGATGTATATACGTACGAAGTTCTTACGTTGCAACTGAGTGATTGGTTGATACATATAGTAATTGTCGCAAAGGGATCAACAATGTTTTTGTTCTCTACTAATTTTTGGCATGTCTTTACTCAAAATATATTTACCTGTTATTTGTCAGTCGCTAGTAACGGTAGAAGATGAGGAGCATACATTATTGTAACTAGTTATATGTGGTTCTTGATTAGTGCAAAGAAAGCAGTAGGGGGGCTGCAAATGGTAGGTTGCAACCGAATTTACACCTAGTCATTCACACTTTCGATTTTTTGATTCTTTAGTAAGGATTTACTATGTCATCTCGTGTCCCATAATTCTTCATAGCTTGTATAGTGATCAGTACGGGTCAGTATATCACATGGGTTTGTTTATTAATATGGATCACTTGCATAAAGCTATATCCCAGTTGTATCATAATACATCACTTTTATAATTATTACTGCTTATTGTTGTTGTACTAGTGGGTTTTAATATATAAGGTTAACAAATGTATTTCATCCATAAAATTTTCCTATTTTGATGGTGTCATAATGATAATAACACTATTTCACATATTTTAGTGAAATCCTTTCAATATGCTCTTCCAAATCCAATTCAACCGATAACAGTAAACCTACAATATCAAATCAAATATCTGCTTATTGTTTTTCACCTGGCGGTTATAAGTTATATTTCGCATTAAATTCAGGTGATTTATTTTGCTTAGACTTTATGAAGAACTGGTAAGCGTTATTCACCATACAACTTTGACAATAAATATCATTAGGTATAGATTAATAACTTCCTTGAATCTTGCGATTACATATGTTTGTTTATGTGAACCACGTGGATATATTCTTTTGGGTTTGGATGATAACAGTATCAGGATCTTAGACGAAGGTAATTTTTTTTACCCATTTCTACTTTTCTTTTAAAAGATGTACTGCCAATTCGTTGCTGTAGCTTTGCTGGTTATCAGTACAAATTTATCATAGGAATCATATCAGGGTACGATGTTAGCCCATTCAAAAGTTGCATGTATAATTTTGTTGTCGTATCACCCTATATTCTTCCAAAAAATCAACCCATTCCCTAGAAAGTAGTTATAATTTTAACTTAAAATAAAAAAGAGCGTGATTTATTGGGTAATCATTGCAGTCGATTTAATCTTTTTTATTAGATCCTAACCATATAAGTTTTACAACTTTGTTACCAATCTGTTTCTGAAAAATGATGGGTTTTATGAATACGGTTCAGTGAAGTTTTACTATTTATCGAATTTCAAAGGGTACAATCATGTAGCTCTTATTATTATGCATAAATATATTCTACGCATATTATGGATTTTGGTAATAAAGTTATGCAATGTCGTAGATTGTCTTCAAAGAACGTATATGCCGATGTTTGTACATCCAGTTGACAAACCGTATCTGAGATAAAACTTGTGTCATAAATTTGGCGCCTGACCACTATTGAGATATTTACTGAATATATGAAAACAAAGTAATATCAAGAAGCTAATATATCAATGAAGGCTAGTTACTTTATCCTTGAATATCAATGATACGAATATTGGAATCGGTTTTTCTATTGCCATCGTATTCTTTCCTTAGAGTCGGGAAGAGAAACTAATTCTTTGAGTGGTCACAAGTATAGGATCTCTAACATATCAGTTCAACCAGTTTCTGGCCGTTATGGATTATCTATGGCCTTCAATGAGGCAATATTATGGGATCTCGACACTAACACATGTCGCTGCAAGTTACACGTTGGCCAGCAAGTGAATATGGTATCAGTGAGTTTCATCATTTCAAAAGTTATTCTCTTATAATAAATAAACGTTTGTTCTATGAACCTTACAATTCCAGACTTTTAGATTATTTGACTGTCATACATTTGCCAAATTAATAGCTGTTAATATTTCCTAGGACTTTTAATCTCTATTTGTATGTGCTTTCTCTCTATATAGCCTAAAATTGTGTTAATCTCCCACCACATTTTTGAGTTTCTACTTCACACAATAATGTCTGTTTCCCCATTTCTTCATGATAATGTAAGAGGTGAATTTAAGATAATGAATTCTAGTTTTAAGGCTGTGTAGCCGGGTTCTTTATGAAAATTTACTGTTAGTCTGTATTTGCACTGGTCATCCTCGACCGTAGCTGCTACCTTTACGTGGTGGTCGGGCTCGCCTATCGTGATGACCCAACCGAGCTATATTGGCTGGAACATATGTTCCTGTAGGTCCTGCCATGCCAGGCAGGTCAATTAGAGGACGGTGAGACCAAAAGCAGCAACTCAATGTCTGAGGGTGAAGTCATACTGCTGACTGTAAACGAATGTGATAGCGATAAGGTGTTTCCTTACGACAGTCAACATCTACAGTAGTGCCGCCTCACAACGGAAAGAAGGGACTAGAAAAGATCTACCCTTATAATGTCATACCTCATCTTACCCCACAGATTTCCATCTCGGGTGATAAGGCCGTTTGAAAGCAGAGCTAACATGCTAAAATCTTTCCGTGAAAAGGCCGTGTATGACTGGCCTCAAGTAGTTGTCCTTTCGGCTCTACAGCCGCTCTACCAGGTTGCCAAGACCAACGCTAATTAAATTTTCTTTTCAGATTCCTCAACAAATAACCTTCCACGGTGTAGGCAGCCAGGAAAAATGACATCCGTTCTCACACCCGTAATAGCACACGAGATTAAGTTGCTCACAATGAAATCCTTCTTCCACCTCTTAATCACTTTATTTTCTCTACGACTAACCATTCTCGTATACCCTTGTCACGTCGCCCCGCTAATGTTAACGACTTGAGTACACGAAAGTTCATTTCTGGTCCCGTGAAACCACACTTCAAACTACATGTTTGGACTTTTAGTGTTTGCATCTCGTCTCGAATAGGACAGCAGGCCTCCTTAGCTAGGATTTTAGAATCTCGCGCCGTCGATGTATGCTGCGTCTTTGAAACGCACATACAGGATGCGAGTAGAATCATTTATTTGACCTCTCCTTGTCAAAATAAGGAAACGTCTCGATTTACTCTTGGTGTGTCTGGAAGCCCCACCGCTGTTCCCTGTGGCCCTGCTAGTGTAGGTAAAGCATTGAGTTCTGAAGCATAACTAGCTTTAGTAGACCGGATCCCAATAGATGTTCGCTTATGCGCCGTCCGAGTAGACAGGACACTATAACCTCAAAAAAATAGGGAAATTCACCATTGTCTCTTCCTTGTCTCTGCATACTCTCTCACTAATTGCAGCTCAGATGAGGTAAAAGATGAGTTTTATAGAAGGAAAGCTTAACAACCTTCTTCAAAAAGCTCTCTGACGAAGTAATAGTGGCAAGTGACTTTAATTCTCAGTTAAGTAGACTAGGCGAAGAAGAAGGACACATAGGTGATCTTACCGTGGTGTGGATCGAAGAACAGATAATGGCGACCGTCTGCTGCTGTGCTCAGATAACTGTCTATTTCTCCCGACCGTAGCTGCCACCTTGACGTGGTGGTCGGGCTTGCATATCGTGATGACCCAACCGAGCTATATTGGCTGGAACATATGTTCCTGAAGGTTCTACCATGCCAGGCTGGTCGATTGGAGAACGATGAGACTAAAAGCAGCAACTCAATGTCTGAGGTTGAAGTCGTACTGCTGACTGTGATGGAGCGGTGTGACAGCAGTAAGGTGTTTCCCTCGGACAACCAGCATCCGCAGCGATGCTGCCTTCTCACAAGGAAGGAAGGAAGGCTTAGAAAAGGTCGAACCTAAAAATGTCACACCTCACCCTAAATCATGGATTTCCGTCTCCGGCAGTAAGGGTGCCCACTAAGGGCTTTTAAGAGCGGAGCTAATACTCAAAAAACCTTTCATAAAAATGCCGTGCGTGACCGGCCTCAAGCAATTGTCCCTTGGGTTCTGCTGTCACGCTCCCAGGTCTCTAAGACCAACACTAATCTATCTTCCTTTTCAGGTCCCTCAAGAAACAACCTTCCATGGTGTTGGCAGCCGGAAAGTGACAACCACCTTCATACCCGTAACAGCACACGAGACCGAATTGGTCGAAATCAAATCCTCCGTACATCCACTCATACCTCTCTTATCTCCACGACTAACTCTTCTCACATTCCTTCATCTCACTTCATCGCTAATGCAAACGATGCGAGTTCACGAAACGTCATTTCTGGTCTCTTGAAACCTCGTTCTAGTCTACATGTTGGAGCATATAATGTTAAGACATTGTGTCAAATAGGGCAACAGGCATCATTAGCCTAGGACTTTAGAATCTCGTGCCATCGATGTATGCTGCGTCTCGGAAACGCGCATACAGGATTCTAGTAAAATTATTAATCTGATCTCACCTTGTCAGAATAAAGAAGCAGATCGATTTACCCTTCGTGCATCTGGAAGCCCTGATGCTGCTTCTCAGGATCTCGCTGGTGTAGGTATAGCATTGAGTCGTAGGGCAGAACTAGCGCTCCTAGACTGGATGCCAGTAGATAGTCACTCCTGTGCTGTCTGACTAAACGGGACAGTAAGGACTCGGGAAGATAAGGACACTCGCCGTTGCCTCTTTCTCGTATCTACCTACGCTGCCACTGACTGCAGTTCAGACGGGATGAAAGATGAGTTCTTCGGAAAGCTTTCGGGCTTCCTCCAAAAAGTTAGGCACTCTGATGTAGTAATAATGGCTGGTGACTTTAATGCTCAAGTAGTTAGACTAAGTGAAAACGAAAGACACCTAGGTGGATATTATGGTGTCACGGCTCAGAGAACAGACAATGGTGACCGTCTGTTGCAAGTATGCTTAGATAACTGCCTATTCCTAGCAAACACTAACTGTAGGCCTAAGGAAAAATATCTGTTGACCTGGCGACCTCCAAAGTCGTCTCAACGTTGGACGCAACAAGATCACATCGCCATCAGCCACCAGTGGAGAGGTTCGATAGTTGACTGTCGCTCGTTCTGGGGCACATGTTTGGATTCAGATCATGTCCTAGTGCGAGCGCGTATTTGTTTGAAGCTTACTGGACTTAGAAAGGACACCACAAGTAAAACTCCTGGGGTTCTACCTAATGATCGCATAGCAACTAGAATTACAGTAAGGCGATCATGTAAGTGATTCCCATCCGGAGGCAGCTTGGAATGATATCAAAAAGGCTGTGAAAACAGCAGTGATATCGGCACACAAGGTAAACCGTAATGCTAGAATGAAGCCATGGATCTTAGTAGCATCTACGGAACTGATGGATGCTCGAAAACAGTTCCAGTTTTAGCAGCCAGACTGACCGAGATCTTAGGTAGAATCGGGGAAATGGACGTAATCTCATCTGACTGGTCCCAATTGTTGATTGTCCGAATTCGCAAGAGAGGACAAAAGTCTTCTTGCGACAATCACAAGGCACTCAGTCTAACTAATATAGTTTCTGAATTGTTAGCCTCGATTATCCTTAGACGCCTAACTAGAGCTTGTGAAAAGCAGACTAGAGAAAACATGGCTGGTTTTCGATCTGGACGTGGTTGTATAGACCACATTTTCACACTGTGACAGTTCCTGGAACACAGACACATATTTAGGCGTCATGCAATAGTTGTTTTCCTGGACCTTAAGGCGGCATTTGACTCTGCGGATCGTGAGTTTCTGTGGCAGTGTCTATCATTGAAAGATGTACCAAAGAAGTACATTAACCTTATACAAGCTCTCTACTCGAACGCTACTGGTCGAGTGAGAGCTTATGGCGAACTGTCTTCAGAATTCTTTACTCCAAGTGGTGTCCGTCAGGCATGTCCACTCTCCCCATTCTTGTTTAAATTTGTCACCGAGAGGCTTTTAAAGTTAAATTCATCTTCGTTTGACTCATCAGGGGTAGACATTCTACCAGAAGACACACTTTTTGACTTAGAGTATGTCGATGACATAGTTCTACTTGGTGAAGACGCTGACAAAATGCAGAGTCTCCTGATTACTCTAAGCAAAAATGCAAGCATGTTCGGGATGCGGTTTTCCTCCTCGAAATGCAAAATGTTGCTTTAGGATTTACTTGTATCGGCACCTGAACTAGTGATAGGGAGTGAAGTAGTCTAGCGTGTTGACCGCTTCACTTATCTGAGTTGTCTCATCAATGCTGCTGGTCTGGTGACTGACGAAATCTCAGCACGGATATCGAAGCCTCGATTGGCTTTTGCAAACCTGCGTCACTCATGGCGTAGGCGAGATATCCGTTTGTTGACAGTGGTTCGCTCCGTTCTCCTATATGGTTTTGAAACATGGCCGGTAAGAGTAGAAGATATTTGTAGGTTACTAGTATTTGATCATAGATGTCTTATAAGCACTGCTCGTGTATCGTGGGACAACTGAGTAAGCAATGCTGCCATCAGGAAACGGGTACTAGGTAGGGATGGCAAATCAAATGATGAAGTATTGAATCGTCATCAACACTTCCACCATCTGACCTTTAAAGAGTTGATCTTCTACCTGGAGATAATCACCTGTTGACTTATGTGTAGATAAGAAAGTTGTGTTTGGCGAAGACGCTGATAAAATGCTAAGTCTTCTGACCGCCTTGAGCAACAATGCAAGCATGTTCGAGATGCGGCTCTCCTCGTCGAAATGCAAAATGTCGCTTCAGTATTTGCTTGAACTGGCACCTGGATTTGTGATAGAGAGTGAGGTAGTTGAGCTTGTTGACCGCTCAACTTATCTCGGGAGTCTCATCAGTGCTGCTGGTCTGGTGTGTGACGAAATCTCAGCACGGATACACAAGGCTCAACTGGTTTTTTCCCATGCGCGTCACTTGTTGCTTATTTGGGAAATTTGTCAAAGAACAGGTTCATTTTACAACAGTTCGCTTTGTTTTATATTTTGGGTGTGAAACATGGCCTCTAAGGATAGAGAATATTCGTAGGTTATTAGTCTCCGAAGCATTACTCATGCTTCCTGGGATGATGAAGTGAGCGATGCTGGTGTTTAGAAAGGAGCACTGTGCAAGAATGGAAAATCAATTGATGAAGTATTGAACGTTCATCGTTCGAGGTGGTTGGGACATGGTTACGTTTGCTCAACCATTGACTTCGTCTACGGGCGGTATTGTCTAATGAAGGAGTAAGCTGATTGAAAAGTAGGGTTGGCCAAACCAAAACGTGGCAGTAGTCAGTGAAGTCACCAATAATTGGACTGAGCCATGTTAGTAGGTTTAGACTACGTGGTTGGGTTCCGCGTGATTGTCATACATAGTGGTTAGATACTGTGAATGACATGGCCTGATATTGTTTGTGATAGCGCAAGTGAATTCATTTCGTGTTTCCTCAAATTCCGAATTCCAGAATTCCTCATGACCTTATTTGATCGTCTTAAACTTATTTCAGTGATATCTACTTTTCTACTCGTATGTTCCATCCCTAATCTTTTCGACTACCGCTAACGCTGTTGATGCCTCAATTACTAAGGGATTGGAATTGACAATTCCATCTCTTTGAACTAATTTAGCTTGGCAACTTAAACTGATGTGCGTACGTACAAACTTCTACGTTGTAGCTGACTGACTGACATTAATCGTCTTTCAATGCTTAGCTATTAGAAAAAGAATGAGTGATATTCGCATTGTTTATGATTGTTTTTTTCTGTAATCAGATTGTATTTTTATGTTGCTGGTAAGTATGCCTAACTTTGCTCAAAGGTTTTCGTATCGAAAGCTATATGAAATCAATTGTTTGGTTTTAATTAGTCGCGCACTGGTGTTCCTAACTTTTGATTTGATGTTTACTGTACTGGCGAAAACTGCATTATATTTAATTCTATAGCTAACTTTAAGCTTACCATAGTCTGTAAGTAGTGTAAATGTTTGTTGATGGATTTCGTGAATTTTAAAATTGCTTGATCAAACTGAAGCTTACATTACTCCATTAAAAACAGTAGTACTATAGGTGGTACTATTTATAGTTATTACTTTGCATTTTAGGTAACTTTCATTCCACCTCGTGGTGAGAAAATTGTATCTTGTTTTCAAGATGGATCTATTTATGTTTGGAACACAGATTCTCTTCATTGTTTGTTTAGGCTCGTTAACAATGATTATCCAAACCCACCATATAGAACGATTACATTTACCAGGTTTGAATATTTGAATTTTTAATAATATTTATTAGATCTAAATAATGATACATTTGTAGACTTAGGACGTTTTTATTTATTTAAATGCTATTATTTATCAAGGTTGAGTATATGAGCATTGTAATCTGATCTGGCATACATGTAGTCACGGGAAATTTTATGGTGGAATATTAAAATACACTCTTCAGATACGCAAGCTCGTAGGTTTTTATGTAAAATACAAAGAATCTTAATTTGTACTAACGGAAATCGAAAATCATTAACTTGAGCATAATCTTTTTGTTTTGCTAACAAAAATGTTGTAACTAGTAATAGCAGCGACAAAATTAGGATTCGCCATGATCACAGGGAGCATATAACCGCCACTTATACAGTTAAGTATTTTTAACCTGTGTTTATGTCTGTCTGTAATCCACACAACAAACATATATTTTCCATAAGATATCAGTAATGGTTAGTCACTGTCCCAACTCTAGTTGGTGTAGAAACTACCGTTCAATACGATGGTATAAACTTTTACTGCTTCACTCATTGGGTGGAGTTGCAGTCATTGTCTATGAATTGGTTTCTTCGAATAAGTAAGGAGACAAAGTTCGGCGGTTCAAAGCACATAATTATCGATCTGATTATGTAAGCTACTAATCCAGGTAAAGTAACTAAATGTAAGCCTCAGTATTTCCACTTTTTTAAATTTTTTACTATTCAATTACATGTTCTCTCCTATCAATATCTCTTTTCTAGCAACGGTCAATATTTATTTGCAGCAGGTCGTTCTCCGTTTGTCTACGTATGGAATTTAAAAGGACATGTAAATTGTTCACATCAAGACAGTTCAGTTTTGTATGATTCAAACACAAGTGATCAATTTTTACAAGAGTTAATTAAACTTCCCGAACCATTAAAATCAGTTCGTCGAATTGAATGGATTCCTAAATCTTGTTTAGCGAATTTTAACCAAATTTTCCACGATTCTGAGATATGTGACGAGGTAATTGTGATTTCATCAGGTTGGAACGTTCCCGCTTTTATTTTGACTTCCTTTTGTTATTATGGTCAGTATTCTAAACCAATATGCGTTTGTTTTCATTCAACGATACATCAACCTCACTTTCCTTTATGTTCTTAATCCTTCTTAGGAGACTTAAAATTCACACACAGTAGATTCGCGGGTATTTATGATACCTACACTTTAAGAAATTAATGTTCCTTCTCACAGACATGAAACTACGCCACCCAATGTTGCAGTTATTGATGTTACTATTGATATATTCTGATTGTAACTAACCTGTGTAATCACACAATAGTAAATAATATAATATTATCTAGTCCTTAGGGCTGTTTAAGTTCTTTTGACCGAATCGTATCTTTTGTAGGTCATTTATTTATTTCTTTTTATTTTAGTTATCTGGTATACTAGTATTACTTGGCACTGATAAACGTTTACGTCTTTTGATACGAACCCACGAAAATCCTAGAAAACCATTAGCTTGTACAGAAAATATACCAAAGCATCAACAGTCAAAGAATTCAACTTCTGTTTATTGGAAATGCTTGTTTACATTTGGATTCGGTTCATTAGAAGATCCATTGATATCATCATTCAGTGCACCGGCTTACAGTATTTTAGATCTCTCTGATTGGCAGGGAAAACAACGGAGTAAATCTTTCAATTGTCATTCGTTATTGGCTTTTCTTGATGATCATGGTTTATTACACATAAGTGATCTTTCAATAGTAATAAACTTCCTCAGTAGTGTAAGTTATCTGTTTTCTGGTTTACTGTCAGATTTTACCATCTGTAAATGTTTTTGTTGTATATATGATGTTGAACCTGTTGGTTATAGTTATTGAGAAGTTGAAAATGAAGGAATATTCTATATTGTACCTCATGCAAATATAATAATTTAGGTGTTAAAGTTTCTATTTCTCACAAGTTTTGTGGGTCGTGCTATCCCTGTGAATTTTTCGATTCCAGAGACACTAGACTTCTTAACCATTAGGTTATTCAGTAAAAACTATTAATATAAGTACTACATGCATTATATCTCATGTCATAACAACTATCGATCTCATTTCTTTCATACTGTTTTAAGACTAAAATCATGCATTAAATTATCTGAGCGATGTAAATCATAATCATGATGAGATGTACTTAATGTAATGGATCTCACCTCGATTTACATGTCTACCTGGAGGTCAATATTTTATGCCTATCTCTCTGCTTCTCTATATTTTTACTCATTTATGTACCCATCTGTTTACTTATCTGCCTGTGGATAATAATATCTTACTAGAACTTTCAGCATTTTGTTTAGAAAAACTGGCTAGTGAGTTTATGGTTATCCAGTGCGTTCGAAGATTTACTGAGATTGTCTCCAACTAGAACGAAATACATGTGTAGTTCACCTTGATTTTCAGTCATCTTCCAACTATTGATCGAAAATGTCCTGAAATTCACAAGTCCCTATGAACTTAAGATAATTATTTCACAAACTTAACTGCGTCAATTCATCCATGAATGCTGCTCTGAGATGTAAAGTTTCGAATATCATTTGGTAGTGTTTCCACCCTTTTCGTGTAGATAGATTTGCTGACCCTATTTGTTGTCATTCATTTCAGTCATCAATACCTGTAATCAAAGTAAAAAATGAGAATTCAAACGAAAAGTCTTTTCTGAAACATACTGGAAACAAGAAGTTAAATAACTTTTCAGCTTTTAAAAATTCCACAAGTCATAAAAAAGAAAAAAGTACAACAGCTTCAGGTGCATTACATATGAGGGACCCTGTAAGTTCTTTTTTAAGCTTGTAATTGCTTGTATTATTGTTCTGTTTACTCTAGATAAAAAGTTACCGTAAATTGAGTGTCCTTCATGTATCACGTTAATTTTGTTTATCTCGAAATCCAGCAACTCTCCTTCATAAACCGACTAGTTATATAACCCTGTTATGAACACAGTCATCATCTCGTTCATACGTTTGGCATTGTTTTGCATGGTGACTTATGAATAAGTTTACGTTATGTAAGTCTTAATCACTTGGGCGAATCAATAAAAACTTTTACACTTCTAAGTTATCCCTCTATAGAAAATAAGCTAGCTTAGCACTATAAAATTCCAAAGAGTTTGCGCTATGGATTTTAGAATTAAACATTTTAAACTCAAACTCAGAATCTGTTGTGTGAGTATTTTCTATCCTTTTTCATAGATGCATTGACCATAGTATATAGTTAGGCATGAACTATCCATGTATGTCCATGTATTTTATTGCAGCTTACTTTAAGCTTTTCCATACCCTACTGTTATTCCTGGTCACGAACAGTTAAACATTCTTGTAGTACGAAACTGGATTAACACTAATTCGGCAGATCAAACGACTGGAACACGACACCTCAACAATAATCCCCCAACACAATGGAAGACATTTAACGTAGAGTTTTTGTAGATGCTATGCTGTAAGTCAGAGTTAGTGGTTGGTTATTTTCTAAAAGCAAAAGTGTTGAAAATCGGGATTACTTTTCACAACCTTCAACCATCATCATTGTCATTAATTTTACTATAGTAGAGATCGTATTAACAGATTTCCTTTTTCCTAGTGGATTAATCTCCAATTAGCTGAAACGGGATATATGGCTGACAAAATCTGTCCACCAGTACTGAATGTTGAAACTATATCTTGGTAGTGTATTTCCCATCTCCACCGTCGATTAGCGGGATGCCAGAATTTCAGATTTGGAGCTCAGGGGTGCTAGTGTAATGTAAATTTTGTACCGTATAATATCTATTCCGGAACGATGCGTACATTACCACTTTCTCCATTTTTTTAAAAATGTATGTAAAATGACAGTTCTCATCATGCTTGTTGACGTATATGCTGTAACAATCAATTACATCTCCAGATAAGATACAAGTAATGCTTTTAGTTCTTCGAAAACTTTCATAATACTCTATCCAGTTCTACGTATCATTCTTTCCGAGGCGATAATTAAGTTGTGTTTGCTTCTTATATCAAGAATGCTGATTAATAATCAATAATTACCAAGGAGAAAGGAGTTTATTCATCCTGTAATGCAGGCATTTCCTGGATAGATTAGAAACCGTACCGTATAAATGATTATATTTTCTATATTCCAAGTAGACTAGAAACAGTAACTAGAATAATCCTGACTGCGTTAATTTAAGTGTATTTTTGTTATAAACAGCGGAACATTTAAACTTATAAGAAAAGTTTATATTTTTGTAAAAGACTATGTGTTAATCTGTCCACATTTTTTCCTTCCTTGAGATAGCTTTAAGAATATTCACACTTCTTGACTTTTACTATACTTATGGTCACTGCGTGTCTAAACATACATAATACTTTACCGATGGATTCGTCGTAATATCCAGTCACACCACTCATCGAGAATTTCTAAATGTTCAAAAACTATTCCATAGATTGTTCTTATATACAGCTGGTTTCAAATTATTCTTTCATTATTCTTTTTTGTCTTCCTTCAGTGTAATTTGACACGCTTAATAAATATACCATCCGTTTCTACACTAGGCTGTTAAAAATATTGACGAGGACTCCAAAACTTTTGGAGTACTTAAAAATTGTTCAACCTGTTCTGTACCTTAGAAAGCGGATGTTTGAAAATATTAGTATAAACAACTGGCTACGGAAACCTTTTATAAATAAGAGAATTGTATCATACATATCCGTGTAGAGTAAGTAGTCGATCATACCTGTGTTGAGAGTTATCAGGGTTATTGATTAAAATAATCAAAACACTCATAAAGGTGAAGATTAACAGCAAGTAGTTATCTGTACATCACTTCAAATTTTAATGACTACCCCTGGTTGAGGAACAGTTTACTTATAGCTTCATTGTAGAATCTTTTGCATAATATACTAGAAAAGTGTGATTTATTTGTATTCGTTTCTGTCTGCCATTGTTTTTAGACTAATGGTTTTTTGGACCGGAAACGTTTACGTCTGTTGCTTAAGGAATTCGGAAGATTTCCAAATAAATATCGGTAATATATCGTATTATAAAGTTTTACAGTGATTCGGACATAATTAACTTGATGTTGATCAGTTTATTTTGACTGTCTTTTTAGATTACTCACATAATCCTCACTTAGAGATTCATTAACCGACATTAATCTTATGAAATAAATAACGTCAAAAATAAAATACTTAAAATTATGCATCTAAATGAAATCTGACATTAAAATATTCAACCAAACTAGATTAAAGATGCCGTAAAATGGTCAAGTCTTTCGTGAATAAATTAAAATTGAAAAATATTGTCAATGGTATTCGTTGAATAATATAATGCTGGTTGATAAATCATTCTTAACACTAGACAGTACAATTTAAGGAATAGCTTAATTGGTTTATGCTACTCTTCTGCTGACAACCCATTCAAATCTGAAATGGAACGTTGTTGTTGATCCACAAACGTTTATCGGAATTTCAATTGCTGTAACTGTTCTCGAGAGGAGCAACAAATTAGTGTCTGACTATCTGGCACTGGAAGTATTTAAGGATAATTTTTAGGAACTATAAGTGTCACGAAGTAGTGTATTGGGTGTAAGTAAAGCAAAGGATGACCTCTTCTAACAAGTCGTAATCGTTAATGACTTCAATTTTTAACAAAATGCTAGAATGCTCTTGTGATGACTTAAAAATAAGATTAGCTAGCACAAAACACCAACCTACGGAACTTTAAGTTATTTTATACCTGATAAACGATTATCAACTATTTATATACGCTTTGATATATTACAACTCTTTAATGCTTTTTAAAGCACTTAAATAAAGTTATTCATGTGTTAGAGGAGGTACTTAGCTCCATTGAACTGGACGTCTTTCGACAGTATATTGTGTTTACAAGTGTTTCAAAAAGTATTGCAACTTAAGAGCTTTTAGTTCAGGTTTACACTTTTTGCAGTTCAGATAAAGATATTTTTGATGATGATAACTGACAGTATCAATCAAGGTTTTCTTCTGGGGTCATTTTTGTTTCACTGTAGTATAGAAATGATGATCGAGGAAATGATGCAACTTACCTCTGATATTCCATTAGATTTCCTTCCTACAGACGCAAAGATTTAGGCTACATTCTGCAGAGTTTAGAACTAAGAAGAGGAACATTTTCATATTTGTTCTCACTTTGCTTAGGTTGATATGTCACAACTCTTGATTAGTTGACTGATCACGAAATACATAGATGGACATTCAATTATCGTTTGCAGTTGATTCTAATTCATTTATGGTTGAGTGACTGGATTGAATAATGCTTTCTTTTGTCATGTGATTTTGGCAAAACGACCTGATAAACGTTGACTTATATGGAGAATGTCTATAATGTTATTTGTCGCATTCTTCTGTTTATGTTCAGAGTGTTTAACAATCAATATGTGCTGTTCGCACCATGATTTGAATTATTGAATCATCTAATATTCATAGCGATCATAGGAAATGAACAAAAACAAATAATAGAAGCATATCTTTTGTATTTTGTCTGCTTCAAGAGGTATGCATTTTTCAGAAAGTATATTCAGTAGCCTAAGTGAAGCTAAATATGGTACAGGTGAAATCTTTTCTATGACTTGTATGTACATCTACATAAATACCTTTTCTCATTAGGAGTATGAATATGCCCTGTTTTTGTGTAAAAATCCTGCAAATAAATGCATTCGAAAATCTTCGTAAGCTTTTCTGTGAAGCAGTAAGTTGGGTCTACTGATACTATATCACACACTGAAGATGTTTTAAATGAATTAAATTCTTTTTCTTTATTAGCAACAGCTTTCGTCCTATTTCATTTCATAATTTAATGTATCACTGTAAATTTATGATGAGTGCATTTTTCCGAAAACCCTCAGATTCACTATGTGTATATCATTGCATGCTTACTGTGTTTTAATAACAGACTATTCATTTGGCGTTCCGTTTTGCAACTTCCATATAATACCCAAGCTTTTAGCAATCTACAGAAAAAAGCTATCCATCCAGCTTATGATTTATTATCTATGCGATATCCAATACGAAATCAAAGACTATTGAAAGCCTTGCAAAAGTAAGAAGGAAATACTTTATCATATTATTCACAGTATAATTTTTATTTTCATTCGACTTTCACTATAACAGCCCTTTATGTTTATCTGGCATAGATGTAAGTTTTACTGACTCTGTTTTCTTTAGTGCATATGCCTTGCATGGTTAGATCAATTCTTTCCCAGTTACGTACCAAGAGTGATATCTTCTTATTTTAGTAAGAGAGGTGTACCAAATTTGTCAGCGTTTTAACTATAGCTCCCATCTATATCCTATAGTATTAGTTATTATATATTAAGCTCAAGTTATTGTTAGAGTAAGTAAATCCCAGAATGTTAACTCTCATAAATGTGACTAGCAGTGGAATCCATGGTTCTGTATCGGCTTGAGTCACAATGGCTACGTTGAGACAGTCCTCACAGGATTCTCACACTCTATCCAAGACATCATATTTCAGTCAAAAATATCAAAAAGGGATAATCCAAACCACTTTAAATCGAATTAGATCTCATACCTGTTGAATACATAAGTAGCTATCTGGACTCAGTAGCTGTGTATATGCTAGGAGATCTTTGAAGGAAACAATACTGGATTCAAGTTTTGGAGTGAACTCTGGAATGCATGTACATTGAGTTGATAAACCCCAAACAGGATGAAACACGCTTCCTAGATTCCCCTAACAGCCACACTCTATCTATTCTATCGCACCAGTTAAAAATATACTGTCATATTTGTATATGTATTGATAATACAAAAATGCAGTATCAGTTGGAAACTCGTAAAGGCCTTTTGGTTTGAAGGATTTATTGGATTATGGGACTGAAGTTAGTTTTAGCGAATTTGTAACCGCCTGCTATTTCACTAATAGACAAACTCCAAATATTCGATCATCTTTATGTTCACCGTCCATCAGATATTGAAGGCTGATTAAAAAATGAGACCATAAATTGCCTGAAATCCAGATTCAAGCTTAAACATTGTTCTTCGTTTCACAATTTCTCTTGATTTTACTGTTTTTCTACTATTAGATCAAAATAATATGTTAAATAGACTGTAAGGATATATGAAATTAGACTTTTATCTAGATTTCCAATTAAAAATGTTCACTCTTGGTGAACAACCAATTATTCATCAGTATAATTGCAAGTTTCTTTATTTTCAAAAGGGTTAAATGTTCTCAGACGTTTCTGAAGCATTCCACTTTTTAGTCATCTATATAATACATAACAAGTGATGGCAGTCACAAAATAAGGGATTTCACGTTCATGCATTTACGAAGTCATCAAATATTCGGTTAGTAGCAAATTCTTTCAAATACTCACTCCACTAATATGACTTTTCTGCAAGGTTGAAGAACTGTATTTTTAAATTGTTGGAAGTTGTTTGATTTTGATAGGAAGTAACAGAATAATTGAATGCGATCAAAAGCTAGGTGTATTGGTTTATGGTTGCATGAATGTTATCACAGAGTGAGTTACTATTTGTGTAATTAGTTAAGTTTAGTATTAACTATTTTTAACTGTCATAATGCAATATACCTTCATTCCGATATTGATGACAGGTAATTGTTTTTCTTCTACTTACTGATCCTCTGATTGTTCATCGCCACTTCAAGTTAATGTGTTACATAAACTGAGTACTACAAACTATCCTACTACTTCATCAAGATTATTTATTCCAATAATACGTCATAAGTCTGATAAATACGGTAGCAAAATAATCTGATTCCCATCATGGTTTGTGCATGTGTGATGCTTCATAATAAAAAATTGTTGCTTTAGAAAATACTTATTGATGATATACAACTAGGACTTAGGTGTTTGCAATCACTTAATGTATGTAACCTAGTTGTTATAAAAATGTTTTTCTTTTTTTATTCTCAACTTTTTCTCTGCTATTTTTTGAACGAATTCAAACAAAAAATAAAAGAACTTGTTCAGCATTGGCTTATTGGTGTCCATTATTTGGTGAAACAGACTGGTTACCATTATTTGTTTTTCCTTTCCTAAAATTGCATCAGAATAATCTGTTGCATGCATTTGAAGTTGTTGCTACAGTACTAAGTAAGTGTTCTTTTTAGTCAGTGTAATATTAATTGGATCTTGTGCGTAAAAGATAGATATAACTAATGAACCATTTTCTTCATAGCTGCATATAAAAGCCGTTATCCACTCATTTCATTATATATGATCAAACAGTATTATCATCACAAATGTATCTATAAAATAAAGAACAACCAGTAGCTTGTATTTATGCCACTGTTTATATGACCTATTCCCGTACTTATTTTTCCCGAATAGTTCAAAAATATGCAAAATGTTTGCTTTCTGTTTCCTGTTAGTTGTATTCCCTTGTCGAATTTCACATAAAATTCACCGTATTGTTGATGATAAACTGATATACGATAATTCTACTTGGGTGGCGACTATAACATTTTGACTTGAGCTGGATTTATACAGCCATGAATACAAAGTTATGAAGTGAGTTTAACAGTTGAAAAGTGAAATTGTTCAAAGCAAACTCAAAGTAATTTCATTATAAAAGCGTCTTAATCAACCGTTCATGACGTAAAGCAGTAACTTTTTAATGAAAATATTTCAACTAATTTTGTTGCCTACTTCGATTATCAAAACTTGCTTGACGTATACACCTAACGAAGTGTTAGCCAATTTTCAATTTATATCTTAATGATTTAATGAAATGAGGATACAATTATTTACCTGATGGAACTTTGATCATGATATTTGATTTTTTACAAATTTCATATTTATTAAAACTGCTGTCCGTATTTGTATTGTCCCAGAAAATATGTGTAAATCAATACGAACTGCTTGACTTCAAAACTATCGGATATACTATATATAACATGAGTATAAAGTGGCTAATTAATTGTATTCGAATATATCTAAGGTGTAGTTAATGATACAAGAATTAAAAATTATACAACTCCAAAATATTTGTACACAGGCAATAGGTGTTTTTGTGCAAGAATGCATTTATATGTACTTTCTCAAGCGAAAGAGTTTGAAATTCAAAAAGTAAGCATTGTAGATTACTGAACAGATAAAATTAAAATTATATAAAAATTCGTTTTGAGTATAATTTTTACTCACTTACTTTTTGCACACAGTCAATTGGTGTGGTACTTGGTTTGAATTTTTCCCGAATCCTCCAATCAATATACTTTGTATGATTGAAAATCTTATCGCTTATGCTGACCCCGAGTTGTATCGTCATTTTGTGCAGTATAACATTACTACCGAGGTAAGCGTATGTAGCAGTTGCAACCAAGTTCAGTCTATTCTGTGTTTATATGTTGTTTGTTACGTCTATCCTCCATCTTAATATATTGTGTAATTAACCTAGTTTTTTACTGGTTTCAGATTTATGCTTGGCCACTTCTGCAAACCGGTCTAAGTGAAATATTTACTGAAGATGAATGGTTGCATCTTTGGGATTCATTAATATGTCATTCGCCTAGTCTATTACTTGCTGTGGTTGCAAGCTATTCTATCTGTGCCCGAGGACCACTTCTTATGGTTCAGAATTCTGATACGTTTGAGGTATGCAATATTGTTGATAATACTCTATACTGTATAATATTATTAATATCCTCCAAATGCTATTTCTCTTCAATACATGTGAAATATATTCTTCGAATGCAAATATAAACAGAATCTTTGGATATATATATATATATATATATATATATATATATATATATATATATATATATATATATATATATATATATATATATGTTTAATCCATACCACTATATTTCAGTTCTATGCTTATCTCGATACATTCCATTTCATTGTTCGATTGTATATTCTGAAACTGTATTCTGTTATGTTTGTTTCTGCAACCCCGTAAGAATATAGAATAGAATATAGACTTTGGTTTTATAATCAGGTAAAACTATATTTTTTCAAATCGCCGCTCAAAATCATCATCATACAAATTACCTTTACATCATCGTTCAGGTTTTGTATAAGTAGTAGTAATTTTAGTCTTAGTGTTTTTACAAAAGTCACTATTTTTCGTTTTCAACAGGCTTACTACCACAGTCAAAGTACTTTACCGATATCAATTATCATTGAACGCGCTCATCAGTTGCTTACTTCAACACCTTCAGATATACATCCAGAAAGATTGCTGTCCTCACTTATGCAAACAGGTAGTCAAAATAAAAACAAAGAGAACAATTGCATATCTTTTCAACCACTGACAAGCCCCCATTATCCAATTATTACTCGCTATCCTAAATTCATTGTTAATTATCATATACAAGAACGTGAACGTATACGAGAGGAAGAAAAGGAATATCTACGGCAAAAGTGTGTCATTATTTTGTGAAGTATTTTATTTTACTTAGTTCATTATATCTAAACAGTGTATATTTTATCGCTCATTAATTTGTTTTTTTGCTCCCGCTATGCTTGTATAATCCTCATCACTTTTGCCTCTCTCCAACTTTATGGAATCAGTAGCACACGATTAACTGACAGATGCTCGGAAACTCATCCCATCTGGGTCGGAACACGATGAAGAGCGGAGGCGGCTTAAACACAGGCTGGTAAGAGGTAAACGTAATGATCGCAATTAGTGGTGAGTAGCGAAAGCAAAAGAGATGGAAAAGGTGGTGGCCATAAGTAACAGTAGACAACTGTTCAAACTTATCGATGAACTGTTATTCATTCTCAATCAAGAAGATTGGATCGATGGTCAGAACACCTTAGGGATCAGTTTAACAAGCTTTCAGCCACACTTCAGTTACCCACGATCTGAAATCAACCGGAATGGCAAGTTAATGTAACAAGGTTATAAAGGCTATAGTCAATCTATGGCAAAATAGAGTAGCGGTTCTTGACAGGTTAACCCTTGGTATTTCTAAGTATAGCGCTCCAGTTTTTTGCAGCTTTCTTCGATCGAATATTGGAACTGGACGTAATACCATCGCAGATGAATTAACTAACACAGTGTCTAAAATATTAGCCTCAATAATACTTCAACGCCTAACTAGAGCTTATGAAGAGGAGACACAAGAAAACTAGGGTGGACCTGGATTCACGTCCATATATTTACTCTTCGTCAGGTCCTGGAACATAGACACACTTTTCGGCATCCCATTGTAGTTTTATTCCTTGACCTGAAAGCGGGTATGACGTTGTTGGTCATGAGGTTATATGGCAATGTTTGTGATTGGTAGAAGTATCGAAGAAATACATTTATCTTACAAAGTCTCTCTACTCGAACAGTACTGATGGAGTCAAAGGGTATGGGGTACTGTCATTGGAGTTGGTCACTTTCTGTGGTGTTCGTCAGTACTGTCCACCTTCTCCATTGTTTTTCTACTGTCATTGGCATGCTTTCCGAGACGACACTTTCACCATCTGACCTTTAAAGAGTTGATCTTCTACCTGGAGATAATCACCTGTTGACTTATGTGTAGATAAGAAAGTTGTGTTTGGCGAAGACGCTGATAAAATGCTAAGTCTTCTGACCGCCTTGAGGAACAATGCAAGCATGTTCGAGATGCGGCTCTCCTCGTCGAAATGCAAAATGTCGCTTCAGTATTTGCTTGAACTGGCACCTGGATTTGTGATAGGGAGTGAGGTAGTTGAGCTTGTTGACCGCTCTACTTATCTCGGGAGTCTCATCAGTGCTGCTGGTCTGGTGTGTGACGAAATCTCAGCACGGATACACAAGGCTCGACTGGTTTTTTCCCATGCGCGTCACTTGTTGCTTATTTGGGAAATTTGTCAAAGAACAGGTTCATTTTACAACAGTTCGCTTTGTTTTATATTTTGGGTGTGAAACATGGCCTCTAAGGATAGAGAATATTCGTGGGTTATTAGTCTCCGAAGCATTACTCATGCTTCCTGGGATGTTGGGATAGCCATCGAGAAGCCACCCACGCGCATAGTCGATTGATGAACTTATCGATTAGATGCTTAAATATTTCAAGGGCAGTCGATTGATGAACTATTTGATTAATGTTCAAATATTTTAACGACAATATCGATTATTTATATAATTGTATAAATACGCGTGTTTGATTGTATATTTTTGATTCCGTTAATAAGTGTTCTCCGATGTCTTCCGTCGTCTTATTTTTGAACGGTGGGAGTCTAACGTTCGGTGTTGGTTTGGCGTTACTCAAGTAGAGAACATAAAAGTGGCGACGGAGTGTACAACCCACAATGTCAATTACCCTTGAACAGACAGAATCTTTACTGGAACGTCAAGGAAAACGATATGAACAGTTCCAGGAACGTATGTTGGAGATGTAAACGAAACAAATGAATCTGAATCACAGAGGTTTTACCGATGATTCATATGATCCGCATACAGACTCGATAATTAATTCCATTCATGAATTTCATTTTGATGGCCTAGCTGGTGTGACTTTCGAGTCTTGGTTCAAGAAGTATGGGGATTTGTTCAAGGTCGGCCTCAACAAACTTGATGACGCCGCCAAGGTCAGAATCCTCTTGAGAAAGCTCTGCACAATCGAACACGAACGTTTTAGTAATTTCATCCTCCCAAAGAACCCAAGAGATTTTTCTTTGATGCTACAATTGAAACTCTGTCGCAAATCTTCGCTGAACAGTCATCTCCCTTTAATATTCGTTATCAATGCCTCAAAATAACTAAGTCAAGTGAAGATGACTGGGTAAAACACGCCGGCTTAGTAAATCATGAATGCAAACGATTTAAACTATCATCAATGATTGAAGATCAGTTTAAGTGCCTTGTGTTTGTGTGCAGCTTACAATCTCCCGAAAATGCTGATATAAGAACCAGAATCTTAAGTAAAATTGAGCAGTGCCCAAACATCTCGCTACAAGAAATACCTACAGTGTCAAAGATTAGTAAATTTGAAGCATGATAGCTCCATGGTCGGAAACAATAGCCGACCAGCATACGTGCATGCTGTTAGTGAAAAGACAAATTCGGGCTCACAAAAGCATCACAAAAACACACAACCAATCCTCATCCCCATGCTGGTCATGTGGAGGTTGGCACTACAAGAAGTTTTGTCCATACAAAGAATATTTCTGCACTAAATGTCACAAAAAAAGCCACAAAGAAACCCGATGTAGGAAAAAAACTCGCAGACATTGCTCCTCAAAAGTCTATTCCATGAAATACAGATCTGGTAAGACAATAAACAAAATCTTGGTGTCTCATAACCAGAAAAGAATTCACCGCAGAAGAAGGTATGTGACGTTGGTTATAAATAGACGCCGTATCCGTCTTCAACTTGACACAGCATCTGATATCACACTTATCAGTCCAGAAACTGGAAAATTGGAAGAACTACAGTTCACCAAACGAAGTAACTAGCAAACAGAGCATCTGGTGGCAGTCAGTCAGTCAGATGCAACGTAAAACTTTGTACATAAGTACATCAGTTCATGTTGCCATACCACATCAGCACAGAGAAGTAATCGTCAATTCAAATCCAATAGTAGAAGAGGTAGTAAGGAAATTAGAAGTAATCGGAGAGGTTAGGATTAAAAGATACTATTCAAGAGGTATGATTCAGTGAGAAAAGTTTAGAGAGTCGAAACTAGAGGTGTTGAAGAATCCAGAAGATTAGGATTTGAGAGAACACAAAGAATAAATGCACCGGCGCCATTGCAAACGGTTTTGAGCCATCTCATTCAAGGTCTCTAACCATCGATTATTATCATCTCGCGGACCCCAATCAGGTAGTCGACAATTACCTACATGACTCAGTCCACTAGTCAATGACTTCATGGATTTCTGCCATATTTTGGTCTGGCCACCACTAACTTTCTTCCAACCTATTCCTGCACTACAAAACATAGCTCGACGAGGCAGTTGGTGGTTGGGCATACGCAACACATGTCCCAACCACCTCAACTGATGAAGTTTCAATACTTCATCGATTGATCTGCCATTCTTACCTAGTACCCGATTCCTAATAACAGCGTTGCTCACTCGGGTGTCCCACGGTATACGAGCAGTGCTTCGAAGACACCTATGATCGAAAACCAGTAACCTACGAATATCTTCTACTCTCACTGGCCATGTTTCACAGCCACAAAGTAAGACGGAGCGAACTACTGCGCAGTACACTCGTCCTTTAGTCAGCAAACGGATAACTCGCCTACGCCATAAGTGACGCAGGTTGGCAAAAGCCGCTCGAGCCTTCTGTATCCGTGCTGAGATTTCGTCAGTCACCAGGCCATCGGCACTGATGAGACTCCCAAGATAAGTGAAGTGGTCTACACGTTCGACTACTTCACTCCCTATCACTAGTTCAGGTGCCGATGCAACCCAGTCTTGAAGCAACATTTTGCATTTCGAGGTTGAGAACCGCATCCCGAATATGCTTGCATTGTTGTTTAGGATAGTCAGAAGACTCTGCATTTTGTCAGCGTCTTCACCAGCGTCTACTCCTGAAAATTCAGGCGAGGATAATGTTATGTCTAGGTACATGTCTATGATAAAATTAAACAAGAATGGAGAGAGTGGACATCCCTGACGGACACCACTTGATGTAGAGATTTCCGGTGACAGTTCGCCATAAGCCCTCACTCAACCAGTGGTGTTCGAGTAAAGAGCTTGTATAAGGTTAATGTACTTCTTTGGTACACCTTTCAATGACAGACACTGCCACAGAACCTTACGATCCACAGAGTCGAATGCCGCCTTAATGTCCAGGAAAACAACTATTGTAGGACGCCTGAATGTTTGTCTATGTTCCGGGACCTGTCGTAGTGTGAAGATGTGGTCTATACAACCACGTCCAGGTCGAAAACCAGCCTGGTTTTCTCGAGTTTGCTCTTCTCGAGCTTTCGTTAAGCGTCGAAGTATTATTGAGGCCAGTATTTTAGAAACTATATTAATTAGACTGATTCCCCTGTGATTGTCACAAGAAGACTTGTGTGCTATCTTATAAATTGGGACAATCAATGAATGAGACCAGTCGAACGGGATTGCGTCCAGTTCCCAGATTCTACCTAAGATCTCAGTCAACCTAGCTGCTAAAACTGGACCACCATCCTTAAATATCTCAGAGGTCAGTCTATCAGGACCTGCAGCTCGCCCTCGCTTCAGATTTCCTAACGCTTTTTCAACGTCATTAATACTAGGCGGACTTACGTCGACTTGCCATTCAGGATGACTGGAGATCGTGGGTAACCGAAGAGTGGCTCGTGGCCAGTTGAACTGATCCCTAAAGTGTTCTGCCCATCGATCCAGTCTCCTGGATTGAGAATAAATAATGGTCCCCTCATTTTCCGGGATAGTCTCACTTACACTAGATTCCTAATACCAGTTTCCTTGGTAAGTCGAAAAAATTGTCTAGTGTTGCCGATCGCCGCTGCCTTTTCCATCGCTTTTGCTTTCGCCACCCACCACTGTTCGCGGTCGTTACGCAGACTTTTTATCAGCCTGTGCTTAAGCTGACTTCGTTCTTCATCATGTTCAGAGCCCAGTGGGATGAGTTTTCGGGCATCCATCAGATCGGTGGATGCTACTGAGATCCACGGCTTCATTCTAGCCTTATGGTCAACCTTACTAGCAGATATCACTGCTGTTTCCACAGCCTTTTTGATATCATACCAACCTGCTTCTGGATGGGAATCGCTTGCATGGTTGCTTAACTCTCTTTCTAGTTGCTCGTGAAATATTTTCTTGGTTTGATTATCATTAAGTAAAACCCTAAGAGGCTTTCTTACGGTGTCTTTCCTACGTCCAGTAAGCCTCAAACAAATACGCGCTCGCACTAGGGCATGATCTGAATCCAAACATGTGCCCCAGAACGAGCGACAGTCAACTATCGAACCTCTCCACTGGTGGCTGATGGCGATGTGATCTAGTTGCGTCCGACGTTGAGACGACTCTGGAGGTCGCCAGGTCAACAGATGCTTTTCCTTATGCATAAAGTTAGTGTTTGCTAATAATAGGCGGTTGTCTGAGCATACTTGCAACAGACGGTCACCATTGTCTGTTCTCTGAGCCGTGACACCATAATATCCACCTAGATGTCTTTCCTTTTCACCTAGTCTACCTACTTGAGCATAAAAGTCACCAGCCATTATTACTATATCAGAGCGCCTAGCTTTTTGGAGGAGGTCCGAAAGCTTTCTGTAAAGCTCATCTTCAACCTCGTCTGGACTGCAGTCAGTGTGGGCATAGGCAGATACGATGAAGAGGCAACGGCGATTGTCCCTATCCTTACTGTCCCGTTTAGTCGGACAGCGCACAAACGACTATTTACTGGGATCCAGTCTAGGAGAGATAATTCTGCCCTAGGACTCAACGCTATGCCTACGCCAGCAAGACCCCTGGAAGAAGAATCAGGGCTACCGGATACACGAAGAGTAAATCGAGCTGCTTCTTCGTTTTGACAAGGTGGAATCAGTTTAATGACTTTACTAGGATCCTGTATGCGCGTTTCCGAGACGCAGCATACATCGATGGCACGAGTTTCTAAAGTCCTAGGCTAATGATGCCTGTTGCCCTATTTGACACAATGTCCGTACATTAAAAGCTCCAACATGTAGTTTAGAACGGGGTTTCAAGAGACCAGGAACGACGTTTCGTGATCTCGCTTCGTCTGCATTAGGGGTGCAGTGAGAAAAGGGAGTGTGAGTAGAGTTAGTCGTAGAGATAAGAGAGACATTAGGCGGTGTAGGAAGGATTTGATTTTGACCAATTTGGTCTCGCGTGCTGTTGCGTGTATGAGGGTGGTTGTCACTTCCCGGCTGCCCACACCGTGGAAGGTTGTTTCTTGAGGGACCTGAAAAGGAAGATGGATTAGTGTTGGTGCGTGACCGGAGAGCCCAAGGGACAACTGCTTGAGGCCGGTCACTCACGGCCTTTTTATGAGAGGTATTTAGAGGATTAGCTCCGTTCTTAAAAGCCCTTAGTGGGCACCCTTACTGCCGGAGACGGAAATCCGTGAGGTAGGGTGAGGTGTGACATTTTTATGGTCAACCTTTTCTAACCCTTCCTTCTGTGTGAGAAGGTATCATCGCTGAAGATGCTGGTTGTCCGAGGGAAACACCTTACTGCTGTCACACCGCTCCATCACAGTCAGCAGTACGACTTCGCCCTCAGACCTTGAGTAGCTGCTTTTAGTCTGATCGTTCTCCAATCGACCAGCCTGGCATGGTAGGACCTGCAGGAACATATGTTCCAGCCAGTATAGCTCGGTTGGGTCATCACGATATGCAAGCCCGACCACCACGTTAAGGTAGCAGCTTCGGTCGGGATCTGGTGGCAAGCTAAATATTGTTGGGGAAATATTGTACACTGTTTCAAAAAATGAGACAGCAACGAGTGCAACTGTATACTTAACTAAAAACCCAGACCTCGATTTGTTGGGGTTGTATCTGATAGATGCATTAAAATTAACAGACCATCCTATCAACAGTATCTGCAGCCGAGTTAGAATCGATAACCCTTTGAAGTCAAATCTAAGAAATGCCATTATAAAAAGGCATAATCACATATTTTCGGAAGCGTCCTTGGGATAGTTAAGAAAATAGCACACTAAAATACACGGCAGCTAATCACAGCCATGGATTTTCCTGTTGGGAATTGAAATCTCAAGGTCAACTGATCAGCCCATGCTAGCAAACGTGAAAACCATGATGAAGCATTTATCAAGCGAGTTTTGGGGAACTAACATCTCCAACACTTATAAACACACATAAAGGCCTATTCTGATATAATTGGTTACCTTTTGGAGTCAAAACGGCGCCCTCCATATTTCAATAGGTGATGGATTCTATGCTACATGATCTCCCTGGCGTTGCAGCTTACCTGGATGACATAATAATTATGGACTTTGATAGAATAGACTTAGAAAAGAAGCTCGACCAGGTGCTAACAAGAATATCTGAATATGGATTCCGGCTTCGGGTGGAAAAATGCGACGTTTGCATGCAGAGCGTACGCTACCTCGGTTTTATTATCGATAAAGATGGGAGAAAACCAGATCCAGAAAACACTCAAGCTTTGAAAGCAATGCCGAGACCGGCAGACGTTCCAACACTTCAATCCTTTTTGGGGCTAGTTAGTCATTATGGAGCTTTTATCCCTGACCTTCATCGTCTACGTGCCCCATTAAACAGTCTTTTAGTAAAGAACGTAAAGTGGTGTTGGTCCAAAAGTTGTCAAACTGCTTTCGAGAAGATTAAAAAACTGCTACTCTCGGATCTGTCGCTGACACACTATGACCCATCCCTTCTTATTGTTGTAGCGTCAGATGCTTCAAACTACGGCATTGGAGCAAGCATTTCGCATATCATGTCTGATGGATCAGAGAAGGCAATCTCGCATGCAGCAAGGTCTTTAACTACAGCAGAACGTAACTATAGTCAGATTGAGAAAGAAGCATTGTCAATTATTTTTGCTGTAAGAAAATTTCACAGGATGATATTTGGACGCGGCTTCACACTCTTAACTGACCATAAACCGCTGCTAGCCGTATTTGGGCCAAAGAAAGGGATCTCAGTCTATACTGCGAACAGATTGCAACGAGGGGGAACCACATTATTGTGTTACGACTTCAAAATTAAGTACCAACCTACTACTGCTTTCGGACAAGCTGACGCTTTGTCTAGGCTCATTGGTTCTCAAGCGAATCAGGAAGAAGATACTTTGGTGGCGGTGATTAAGTAAGAAGTACATCGAGTGTTGGAAGACGCAGTAGATGGTCTACCAGTTACATTCAAAGCTATTAAAGAAGCTACAAGAAATGACAAAATACTACAAGAAGTTAAGGGTTATCTCCTCTCAAAGTGGCCGAATCGTCGTCTACAAGGAGAACTGCAACAATATTTCCGCCAGCGCAATTCACTCACTATTATCGATTCATGCATTTTGTTTGGTGAGGACTACTTTCAATATCTACTTGTCCTCAAATTTCGCCACTAATAAATTTTTTGTTTTTCGATTCAAAGATGATTTCAATCGATGCTGCAGAAGAAGAAATTCTTAAAATTATGTAATACGAATTGAGCTTTAAAAAGGGGAATATAAATGTTTTCAACTTATTGCTTTTAAGAAATAATACTGTGAATCAAAAATAGCTATTATAATCTCAATTTAGTTTAAAAAATTACTGTGTTGAATGTTCTTGATCTAATTTCATGGTTTTCAATCTCCATTGCATGAAACTTGATATGTAACCACTTGACTAAAAACCATTGCTTGATAGAAACTGTAATAAAATCTAAGCAATTAAAGTAATTTAATGTACTTTCGATATTAACTTCTGAAAGTAATAAAAAATCATTCTCGTAGAAATGAATAGTTTTTTTTAGCTGGTATTACCTCGAAACTCTGGAGGTTTTTTAATTACGTTATCTGATTTCCTAATTTTTCGTGTCGAGATTCCCCCATACTCTCATAAGTACATTTAAGTTAGTTTAATATTCAATAAAACAAATAAATCCATTTTCAACAAAAACAACAAATAAAAAGACATACTTTGACCGATACATTACATGACGATTCTCAGTTTTTACAGTGCGTTCTCCACTTAAGAACAAATTATGGTTTTTTAAGATGATGACGAAGAGGTAAACCTTCAATCAGTTTAGAGTGAGGATGTAGTGTCAATTTGTTTTCGTTTCCTTGCCATCGATTTTAACTCGGCATATTTCCAAAGATTAAACGACTAAAATAACTTGATTTATAACTCTTGGGATCATTTTTCAGATGGTTTATTTCCGAAGCCGAATTCACCTAGATAACTACTGAACAGCTATTTTCACCTAGTTTCAGACTTCATGTTAGTTGAAAACAGTTGTCCAATATCCTTTTGGTTTACATTTCGTCTCCAGCCGTTATCCGTTCGTAATGAAACTTAGCTTCGAACTGATGTAGTATTCATTAACCACCTAACTATTATTTATTCATTAGCCCAGTTTCATAGACACGTTTGTCAGTTCATTTGTTAAAAGACAGTTTCTAACTTCATTATTTATTTAGAGCTACAGTTGAAGATATGCGACGTCGAGCTCAATTAATGACGAATGAAGAACACAATTGGTTAGTTCCTATTTAAATAAAATATGGTAAAAATTAAGCAAGTATTGCATTTGTTTGAACACGTTCTTATATGTTATGTTCATTTTCACTGATGATACGGTCAACGTGTTCTCATAATACTGATCTTTTTAAAATAAATAAGTACTGTATTGTTGTTTCTACACATCTGTGACTAAGACTTGATCAACGTGAATGCATGTCAACAATATGACTTTTGAACAGCAAAACAAGACAAACATACTACTGCATTTAGATTTTTGCTCTGTTTGTCTACTGTGTTGAGGTTGGCCAAAATCCTTATTGCGATCTGTTAGTGTTAACACAACAACAATCATTGTTGTAAACTTTCATACTTCAGTATTATAGTGACAGTTTTGACGTGACAGTTGTCTCAAAAGTTCCGTCTTCTGCCTTTTTATTCGTGCGTAGTATTATTTGTTAAACTTTCGTTGTGCATTTATCCATCTAGTTGTATTTGAGATATTTTAGAACTTAATAAATTATACGAATCATATCAATCAGTTGACATAATTTTTACGGAAGTTCTCTCAAAACATTCCTCCTAAGGATGAAGCGAATCAAATAATCTTCCACGTAAAATGTTAATTAGGCTATCTTATGTTTATTCTTTCTTAACAATGTTTTAAATTTCACATGATAAAAGCTGATGATACTGTAGATCATGTATTGCGCATAATTTTCCTTTATTTCTGGATGTTGGATCCGCGTTAAACTATTCATTTTTAATGTAGGTTTTTCGTATTAACCTAACAGTTTCCATTTGGTGTTTAAACGAATACTTATAAGATTGATGATTATTCAGAAATCGCAAAAAGCTTATGCCCTATGTATTAAGGTAGTATTTCATTACTAAGCCGAATAATACAGTTTTAACTTTAAATCGTTAGTGCATTTTGGAAAATCACCCATAATACCTATAGTTTTAACCCTGCACTTCATTATTTGTTATTTTCTCTAGGTATCGCCAACAGCAATTACTTTTAGACGCTGAGGATCATCGAAGAACACTACTAGCTGAAGAAGAAAATAAACTACGTGAACAAAGGAAAAGGTTTTTTGACCATTTAGTTTGACTTTCAGTTTCAGGCTCTCTTATTAAGTACTTGTGCAATATCTTTTATTCATATGCTTACAGATACTTAGTTGTCAATTAAAAATCTAGTTAAACCATAATTTTAAGCAGAATAACCAGTTCAAAAATTGTACTAAATGAACTCGATGAACGAAAACAGTTACCTTAATTCCATATATCATTTACTGACTGCTTTATCTGACTACTATGTGATCCTACTATAATGAATGGTTTATTTCTCTTCATCTAAACTATCTTTTCTTACAAGTATATGTATCGTATTTAATCTCAAAAGTAAAATGGAGACTTTTGAAATTTATCTTTTCTGAAAATCGCTGGAGCATTACTCATTGGAATGTTAATGCAAAATTCAGAATAATCGGTATACACATTTTTTCATAATATCTACATAAACTCACTAGTTGTAGCTCATAACAAATACGAAAGATAACTTACATGGCAAGATTTTTTCCCCCGAATAAATTCAATAGTCGGATCAAGTTATTTTAACTTTAGTAATTAGGCTACCAAAGATAGAAATAAGTTTAATTAATACTTCCGTAGTTGTAGACAAACGGATAAGTTACTTTGATTATTTTCTGTAACTTCACTCTGACAACTACTTATTTCTAGCTGTTGTTAACTCTTCATATAAAGTTAAACGCTGTTTGGCCTACTTTTTACACTCTACGTTCTTTCTCTATCTCACAACTTTACTTTTATTGTGTGGCGCATTTACGTCCTGGCACCTCTTTGTACTAATATTTATGTTTTAAATCAATAAAAATTAAATGCTACCACCGTTCACCATTTAGAAAGGTTAGTGAATAGTCACTATTTCTCCCGTATCAAATACAGTAACTATACGCTCTGTTTGAAAGCACATGTATGTCTGAATCTCATTGGATGTAGAAGCTTTGCAACAAGGAAATTTCTTCATGTTCAGTCTAACCAAAATAAGTATATCAGGGATTCAAGTTATGCATTTACCAAAGTTTTGGATAGATTTTAATTCGAGGTAGTTTAGTATGATCGCTAGTTTTCTATAAAAAGCAATAATAATTATTGCCAGTCTTAAGAAAAGTGTCAGGAAATGTCAGTGAATCATTTCTAGCTTTCCGTTAACTGTCGTTATAGTGTTATGTATATTGTTGAGTTTTATTTAAATCTTGAATTGATCAATGTATGAACTATTTTATATAGGAATAACTCATTATACTGGGTCGCATACCAAATAAGAGGTGAAACTAGTTCGATTGTATAGTAATAAAAGACTTTTGCTATGAACAAAAGTAGCTTCTGCTAATTAGGTCTCTGCCTAATAAAGAAATAACCTGTTTTATTATTAACCGTATATTTTTGACATTTGGCTGTTGTTATTCCTTTCTTTACAGATTAAGTGCATTAATTCGTGAAGTGAAATTACATGAATTAAGCTTAGCTGAAGAATCTCGTTGTCATTTTAGACAACTCGATATTCGACGTCGCCAATGTGAATTAAACAAGTTGGAGCAAGAGTTAAATCGATTGGTAAGCTGCTAATAGTTCTAATTAGACACTACGTACTCTTTCGAGTAAATATAATCATTGAGACTATATATAATATCCGGTAGCCCTGTTGCTACTTCCCGGGGTCTCGCTGGTGGAGGTATAGCATTGAGTCGTAGGGCAGAACTAGCGCTCCTAGACTGGATCCCTGTAGATAGTCGTTTGTGCGCCGTCCGACTGGGCGGGACAGTAAGGACTCGGAATGATAGGGAAAATCGCCGTTGCCTCTTCATCGTATCTGCCTATGCCCACACTGACTGCAGTCCAGATGAGGTTGAAGATGAGTTTTACAGAAAGCTTTCAAACCTACTCCAAAAAGCTAGGCGCTCTGATATAGTAATAATGGCTGGTGACTTTTATGCTCAAGTAGGTAGACTATGTGAAAACGAAAGACACCTGGGTGTATATTATGGTGTCACGGCTCAGAGAACAGACAATGGTGACCGTCTGTTGCAAGTATGCTCAGACAACCGCCTATTATTAGCAAACACTAACTTTATGCATAAGGAAAAACATCTGTTGACCTGGCGACCTCCAAAGTCGTCTCAACGTTGGACGCAACTAGATCACATCAATCACCGATGGAGGGGTTCGATAGAAGACTGTCGCTCGTTCTGGGGCACATGTTTAGATTCAGTTCATGCCCTAGTGCGAGCGCGTATTTGTTTGAAGCTTACTGGGCGTAGGAAAGACACCGTATACAATAGTTGTGTTCCTGGACCTAAAAGCGGCATTTGACTCTGCGGACCGTGAGGTTCTGTGGCAGTGTCTATCATTGAAAGGTGTACCAAAGAAGTACATTAACCTTATACAAGCTCTCTACTCGAACACCACTGGTCGAGTGAGAGCCTGTGGCGAACTCTCATCGGAATTCTCTACATCAGGTGGTGTCCGTCAGGGCTGTCCACTCTCTCCATTCTTGTTTAACTTTGTCGTAGACATGCTTTTGCAGTTAAAATTACTCTCTTCAGATTGTAGAGGTAGACCTTCTACCAGGATGATCGCTTACTGACCTAGAATATGCTGATGACATAGTTCTGTTCGGTGAAGATGCTGAAAAAATGCAGAGTCTTCTGACTATCCTAAGCAACAATGCAAGCATGTTCGGGACGCGGTTCTTTAGGATTGATTTGTATCGGCACCTGAACTAGTGATAGGGAGTGAAGTAGTCTAGCGTGTTGACCGCCTCACTTATCTGGGTTGTCTCATCAATGCTGCTGGTCTGGTGACTGACGAAATCTCAGCTCGGATACAGAAGTCTCGATTGGCTTTTTCCAACCTGCGTCACTTATGGCGCAGGCGAGATATCCGTTTGCTCACCAAAGGACGGTTTTACTGAGGAGCAGTTCTCTCCTTTCTCCTATATGGATGGGAAATATTGCCGGTAAGAGTAGAAGACATTCGTAGGTTACTAGTATTCGATCATCGATGTCTCCGAAGCATTGCTCGTGTATCATGGGACAACCGTATGAGCAATGTTGTCGTTAAGGAAAGATTTCTAGGTAGAAACGGCAAATCAATAGATAAAGTAGTGAAACTTCATCAGTTGAGGTGGTTGGGACATGTGTTACGTATGGCTAACCACCGACTGCCGCGACGAGCTATGTTTTGCAGTGTGGGAGTAGATTGGAAGAAAGCTAGGGGCGGCCAGACCAAATCATGGCACAAATGCATGAAGTCACTGGCTAGTGGACTAAGTCATGTTGGCAGATGTAGGCTACCTGGTTGGGGTCCGCGAGACGATAGTCACCGATGGTTGGAGACCTTGAATGACATGGCTCAGAATCGTTTACAATGGCGCAGATGCATCCACCCTTTGTGTCCTATGAAATTCTAAACTTCTGCATTCCTCATAATCTCTACGTTTCTCCTTCTAAATTTATCTTACTGAATTATACTTCTCGAATCATATCTTCGCTCCCTAATCTTCTCCTTTACCGCTGATACTTCTGTTATTGCTATCACTGTTGGATTTGAACTGACAGTTGCGTGTCTTTGGTGATGGGGCATGGCAACCTGAACTGATGTACTTACGTACGAAGTTCTGCGTTGTATCTGTCTGTCTGTCTGTCTGAGACTGTATAAAACTTCCTGAGAATATAAGTTTGCAAACATTAGTCAGTCAGTCAGTCAGATGCAACGTAGAACTTCGTACGTAAGTACATCAGTTCATGTCGCCATACCACATCAGCACAGAGATGTAATTGTCAATTCAAATCCAATAGTAGAAGAGGTAGTAAAGGTATTAGGAGTAATCGGAGAGGTTAGGATTAGAAGATATTATTCAAGAAGTATGATTTAATGAGAAAAGTTTAGAAAGTCAAAACTAGAGGGATTAAAGAATCCAGAAGATTAGGATTTGAGAGAACACAAAGAATAAATGCACCGGCGCCATTGCGAACGATTTAGAGCCATGTCATTCAAGGTCTCTAACCATCGATTATTATCATCTCGCGGACCCCAACTTGGTAGTCGACAACTACCGACATGACTCAGTCCACTTGTCAATGACTTCATGGATTTCTGCAATGTTTTGGTTTGACCGCCCCTAACTTTCTTCCAACCTATTCCTACACTACAAAACATAGCACGACGAGGCAGACGGTGGTTGGGCATACGCAACACATGTCCTAAACACCTCAACTGTTGAAGTTTCAATACTTCATCGATTGATCTGCCATTCTTACCTAGCAAACGTTTCCTAATAACAGCGTTGCTCACTCGGGTGTCCCACGATATACGAGCAGTGCTTCGAAGACACCTATGATCGAAAACCAGTAACCTACGAATATCTTCTACTCTCACTGGCCATGTTTCACAGCCACAAAGTAAGACGGAGCGAACCACTGCGCAGTACACTCGTCCTTTAGTCAGCAAACGGATATCTCGCCTACGCCATAAGTGACGCAGGTTGGCAAAAGCCGCTCGAGCCTTCTGTATCCGAGCTGAGATTTCGTCAGTCACCAAGCCATCAACACTGATGAGACTCCCAAGATAATAAAACGGTCTACACGTTCGACTACTTCACTCCCTATCACTAGTTCAGGTGCTGATGAAACCCAGTCTTGAAGCAACATTTTGCATTTCGAGGTTGAGAACCGCATCCCGAACATGCTTGCATTGTTGTTTAGGATAGTCAGAAGACTCTGCATTTTGTCAGCGTCTTCATCAAGTAGGACAATGTCATCGGCATATTCTAAGTCAATAAGCGAGCCACCTGGTAGAAGGTCTACTCCTGAAAATTCAGACGAGCGACAGTCTTCTTTCGAACCCCTCCATCGGTGGCTGACGGCAATGTGATCGAGTTGGGTCCAACGTTGAAACGACTTTGGGGGTTGCCAGGTCAACAGATGCTTTTCCTTATGCCTAAAGTTAGGGTTATAGCAATGTGATCTAGTTGGGTCGGCTTTTTGGGGCCACCAGGACAAAAGATGTTTTTCCTTATGCTTAAAATTAGTGTTTGCTAGAGATAGGTGGTTATCAGATCAAAGACAGTGGCTATTATCATAACACCATAACATCCACCCAGGTGTCTTTCGTTTTCACTTAGTCTAACTACTTGAGCATTAAAGTTACTGGCCATTATTACTACATCACAGCACCTAGCTTTTTGGAGGAGGTTTGAAAGCTTTCTGTAAAACTCATCTTTAACCTCGTCTGAACTGCAGTCAGTGGGGGCATAGGCAGATACGACGTAAAGGCAACGACGGGTGTCCCTATCTTTCCGAATCCCTACTGTCCCGTTCAGTCGGACAGCGCACAAGCAACTATCTACAGGGATCCAGTCAAGGAGAGATTGTTCAGCTCTACGACTCAATGCTATAGCTACGCCAGCGAGACCCCTGGAAGCAGCATCAGAGCTTCCAGATACACGAAGAGTAAATAGAGCTGCTTCTTTATTTTGACAAGGTGAAATCATATTAATAATTTTACTAGGATCCTGTATGCACGTTTCTGAGACGCAGCATACATCGATGGCACGAGATTCTAGAGTCCTAGCTAATGATGCCTGTTGCCCTATTTGACACAATGTCCTTACATTAAAAGCCCCAACATGTAGTATAGAACGGGGTTTCAGGAGACCAGAAATAACGTTTCGTGAGCTCTCACCGTTTGCATCATCTGTGCAGTGAGATAAAGGAATGTGAGAAGAGTTAGTCGTGGAGATAAAAGAGGTGTGTGTTGGTGTAGGAAGGATTTGATTTCGACCAGTTTGCTCTCGTGTGCTGTTACGGGTATGAGGGCGGTTGTAAATGCATAGAACATGAAAAAAAAGTAGTCCCCCAACATTTAGTTTTCCAGATACGAATACTGAAATTACTGACAAACTACAGCATTTATGGTCACAAACACAAATTCTTTTATGGTTAGAATTTCTCAACCATCCATTCAACATTTCTGAAATAGTCGGACTCCTCAGGACGATCTCTGATCGTCTCTTCGCTCAGTGGTTCCAAAACGCTAGATCATTTTGTCTTACAATTCCCTCAAGGCATGTAGTGGAAATCAGCAGTCTGTGCAACTACTGATTTGTCCCATCTCCTCAAGCTCACTCGTTTTTGTTATATGAATTTGATTATATTAAAACCTTTTATTCCAAAAACAGATCAAAAATGTACAAATATCAACATATTTCATCTCTGAAAATCCCGTTTTGTCGACTTTTCGTATAACGAGTAATAATTTATTGAAAAATATTTTCAGTCATTTTTAAAATTATGTTTACAGCAAACTATCTTACTGATCTGATGTAAAAAATTCCTAAACTGTTACCATTACAACGTTCAACACTATTTGAACCGTCGGTTAGTCATTAAAGCTTTCAGCCTTCTTTAGTACCATGTGTTCGAATCTTATTCCACCTTCTTAAATTGGAATATTTAAATATCCGAAGTTTGGGTATATGAACTCGTACTTGATTACTAAGTTACGCCACTCTCAAAAAGTTTATTCGTACAAGGTATTTATATGTTGGTTTGCTTAAGTATTGTTCTAAGATGCACAATTTGAACCTTATGCTACAAGTTCAAAACACCAGCCCCATGTAAAATGAAGTTGTTTATCTCATGGATACTTAAAATTGGTTAAGATCACAATGTAATTATGGTAAGATGACTTTTAGGTAGTAGGTTGTTTGTTTGGATGTTGTTATGCGTCTCTTTTCAACATTATTGAAGACAGTAACACAATGGTAGCTTGTTGAATTTATCATGTTCACGCAAAGTTCAGGATGATAAATGAAATAGTAGGGGGTTAAACCATACAATAAACCCCAGATTTATAGAATTATTGTGAATCATTACAGTCCTAAACACTTCTAAAACATGCAAATCACCACTTCATAACATATTTTAAACCTTTAGGCCAACTGCCGTATCGATGAACTGGATGCAGCAGCTTATGCTGCAGAGTTAGCTGACTTACGTGAAAGACTCCACCAGAGGCGTGCAGAAAATTTAGCTGTCATGAATGAACAGCTACAATCACATGATAAGAATCAACTATCAAACAGAGAACGTCTTTTGTTGACAACCTCTCTAGACACCAATGGTTTAAATATGCATGGTAGACATGCTAAGACGAATGTTAATGAAGTTTATTCAGACAGTCCAAACTACATGAAAACACCATTTGATTCCGAAGTGACGGATTCAAACCTAAAACGTAACAATTCCCATAAGGTAATTTATACTTTTGAAATGTACTTTTCATTTAAAATTGACTTTATTTACCTCGAATGTTAGACTTCTGCTCCATTTACGTTATTTCTTCTCATGCTTTATCTTATTTCATTTATTGCCTTCTTTAATTGCCTCTTGTTAATTAGAATGAGATTTTGATGCTTGTATATGTAAACTCTCTTGCTGTTAAATTAGAGGTTAATTAAGATAACATGTTGTATGGTCGATCAAATAAGCAAATTATAATTTCTCATGATAATGAACGACAATATTTAATTCCGACTATTTACGTTGAAATAAATTAGAGGTGGTTTCTTACTTACTAATGCCTGTTTCCCCTAATGGAGCATAGGCCGCTGACCAACATTCTCCAGCCTACTCTGTCCTGGTTCTTCATTTCTAGCTCTGTTCAACTGTTATTCATTCTTCTTACCTCTGTCTCCATTTCTCGGCGTAATGTGTTTTTCGGTCTTCTTCTTTTCCTTTGACCTTGAAAATTCCAAGTTAGAGCTCGTCACGTGGTGCAGTTGGGTGCTTTCTTCAATGTGTGTTCTATCCACTTCCAGTGCTTCTTCTTGATTTCTTCCTCTGCTGGATGATGGCTCTCGTAGTTCTCCGAGTTCCCGCCTAATATAATAGAACTGTCTTGACGTTTGTTTTGAAAATCCTCACTTTGATTTTGACTAATGGTTATTTTGAGTTCCAGATGTTCTTCAGTTGTAAAAATACTGCCCTTACTTTGCCTATCTCCGCCTTCACATCTGCATCAGATCCACCGTGCTGATTAATTAAACTGCCCAGATATGCGAATGTCTTTACCTCCTCCAAAGCTGCTCCGTCATGTGTTATTTGGTTTGTGCATGTTGTGTTGTATTAGAGAATCTTGCTTTTCCGTTTGTGTATGTTGAGACCTACTGCTGCTGAGGCTGCTGCTACACTGATTGTCTTCTCTCGCATTCGTTGTTACCTGTGAGATGGAAAAGCCAGATTGTCCAGGTGCCTTCTGGCCGTCCACTGTATAGCGCGCTTCCTCTAAATGTTGACGTCTTCATAATCCAGTCGATCAACAAGAAATAAAGAGTGAGGATAAGAAACCTCTCCTGACACCGGTCTTTACTTCGAACGAGTCTGTGAGTTGTCCTCCATGCACGATTTTGCAGTGTAGTTTACCGTAAGAATTCCATATGATATTGACTATCTTCTCAGGCACGCTGAAGGGTCGGACGAGCCCCTATAATGTAATGCTCTTTGCGCTGTTAATTGTTTTCTTGATGTCAAGGAAGTTGATGTAGATTGGTGAATTCCATTCAGTCAGTTGTTCCATAGTGATCCGTAATGTAATTTAGTCGATACATGATCGATCCTTTTGGAATGCAGCCTATTGATCTCGAAGTTGGGCGTCTACAGAGTCCTTAATTCTGCTTAACAACACCCTGTTGAAGACTTTTTCTGGTATCTAGAGAAGAGTGATGCCTCTGTAGTTCTCAATTTTGCTGAGACCGCCTTTCTTCGGTATCTTGACCAGCTGTCCTTTTTTCCAGTCTGATGGTACATGTTCTTCATCCCAAATCTTGCTGAAGAGAATGTGAAATATTTTCGCAGTTGCTTCTACATCTGCTTTCATTGCATCTTCTGGAATGTTGTCTGGTCCTGCTGCTTTGCCGCTCTTCAGTTGTCTGATGGTCATATTGATCTCTCCAATTGTTGGTGGGTCAACATTTATTGGGTGGTCGATGGATGATGCTTCGATGTTGGATGTTTCCAGTGGGCTAATCTACTCAAGAGTTCCTTAAAGTGCTCTACCCACCTATTTCGCTGTTCTTCAGTGTTTCTGATTACTTTGCCTTCCTTGCTCTTTTCACTGGTCGTTCTGGCTTACTATACTTTCCAATAAGCTTCGTTGTATCATGTAGTTGTCTCATGTTTCCTTCTCTTGCAGCTTTTTCTGCTATTGTGGTTAGATCTTCCAAACATTTGCGTTTGTCGGCTCTAATACCCCTCTTAACTTGCTTGTTTGAAGTTGTTTCAGCTAAACACTTATTTTTTAGTTTAATTTAATCGTGAAAGGCCTGGAACATATTGTTGAGGGTTATCTTGGATTCGTTGAGTTTGTCAGTATCCTAAAAAAAGGCCGTGTTCAAATTTTTTGATGTTGTCCTCCCCGTTGTCCAGTGCTTCCTGAATTTGATTGTGGTGACCAGAAAGTGGTGATCTGAAGCCATATCAACTCTTCGTTTGATTCCCATGTCATCCCATGATGTCTTCATGTCCACTGCAGTCCATTTCAACCTTGGCATTTTGGTCTCCCTTTAAAATGGTCAAGTCATTTGTTGGACATTTTTCAACGATTGACTGCAGCCTCTCGTGGAATTGATCTTTGACGTCTTGATTGTAATCGTTGGTAGGTGAAAAGGATTGGATAATTTTCATCTTAATACCTCTTTCTTTATTTTGGAGGATGTTTTGGTAATCAGGGGACCATGAGATTCCCATCCTATCAATGCTTATTTGGATAGCATCAGTGCAACTCCTTGTGTATGTTTAGCATTTTCTTCTTCATGGTCACAGTATAACAACATCTTTCCTGAAGCTAGTCCTATTTGTCCAACCTGTGTCATGTGTGTTTCACTGATTCCAAGCACCTCCAAGTTGTAGCCCCATAAGGGCTGCAGGCGGTTTCTGGTTAGAATTTGTTCCTGTTGTAATGCTTGCTTAAATAATTCCCAGCTAAATCCTATTGCTTAGTATTGTCTGACCACAATGCACTGGACAAGTTCCAAAGAATCAAAAACACGGTTGAACAGGAAAAGGTTATATTCCAAATAGCAAGGTTAAATGGAAATAAGAAGCCAAAGGTGATGGCGAAGGCGAAGGCCAAAAATAGATACAACGTTAGTTTATTTATAGCATTTACATGAGAAGCTTCTGGATAGCAATTCACGTGATCGACTGGATTAGATTTAACCAATCAGCACTCAGATAACAATACGAGAATTTTCTACCCTGTTCTTTAAGAATCGATCTGGCTCTGATTGGATGGGAAGTTAGCCAATCAGCGCGTAGCAACGTAGTCATGCTTTAATTCCATCTGTCCCACTAACAGTTTTTAAAAGTAACTTTTTTATATTTATCTAATGAACATTTTCCTGTAGGTTGTATAAAAATCAAAGAATACTTTTTTGATCAGCTACCTAGTTGGGTTTCAGTTTCGTTCCTCAGTCGATTTTCTGTTCTTGCTATACCAAGTAAAATGTTATAGTCTCGAATCTAAATTAGGTATTTTTTTGTCGGTATCTAACTGAGGACCATTAATTGTTCTGTATGAATAGGATTTCTTTACATATTAGTGCATGAAACATAATAAGTTGATTTATTCTTCAACGTCAACGATATTTACTGTTTTTGATCGCAGGACTTACTAATTAACCTTATTTTTCTACTTTGTCATACGATCATTGCAGTTCAATTCTGCAACAATATTTCCGTTTACGTCAACTAAACTTGGAACACAAACTGTCAAATAATCACAGTATAAGACAATTCCTACTTCGTTTTGGGAACTTATCGTAAATGCACAAGAAATAATTATCTACGGTTCAGTCATTTACAAACTTCCATGTAATTAAGGCAAAATTAATAACAGTTGCATTTTTTGTTTCAGGCATAGTTATATTTTCACGTTATATTTATATTGATTTAACTCGAATTAACAGCAGTTTTCTTATCTGAAAAATACATAAATAAAAACGATTTTTTATCGAACTATCTTCCTGTTGATTCTGTTACTAATTTTAAGAATATTAGAGGTCCACAGTTTAAAGTATTGCTGCCGGTCCTTGTTATCGTAAGTGTGACTTATTGTCGTCACATTTGATAATAAACCTAACCATATACAATTAGAATTAACTGGACTGTTACTCTTATTTGATAACCCATATCTATGACAGTGAGTGACTATCCAACAGTGAATCTGAGTTTAGGGTTCGGATCCTATACTTTTCGATCCAGCAATACTCCAGACTTCCATAAATGAGAATGAAAACTAACAATAATTCTAATAGCTCGGGAGATTTTAATTATGTTCATGATACTGCAAAATTTGGGTTGAATTTAATTAGAGTAGGGAAATGAAGCTAATCCTGTTTGAAGTTTGATCAAACATTAACGGAATCGCGCTTGTTTACACCGGGACTCCACTGTAACTACCAAATAATTACTTCATATCCACTTTCTTACTTCCAAGTATCTTCCTATAGTTGAGCCTTGAACATCAAAGACTACGTGCAAGGTAAGTGTAAGCTTTAACTCAGTCCCTTTCATTACAAAAAACAAAGGAATTTAGGATGAAATTTTACCGCCTGTAACTTCTGAGAGTATTATGAATTTGGTTGTAAAATAAGTAGTAGCATAGAAAGCTATACGTGATTCTTCAACTTTCTAGGACGTTCCCAGGAACTGCTAATTAAATGATATGTTCCCAGCCATTTCCTAGAGCTTGGAAACCTTTTTGAATTATTATAGTCAGGAACGGGTCGTGGCTCGTAATGAGATCCAAGACGTGCTGTAGGTCATATTTGAGACTCAGTAGTTGTATTTACCTGCACCCCACAGCTGAAGTTCTCCGAAGGGCTCAAACCTAGTACTGTTTACTTCGAACACAATCGTGTTATCCACCCACCTGCTGGTTTTTTCTACGCGGTGGATTTTGAATTCAGATATTGTTAAACTTGCTCCTAAAAAGCCTAGTACATGATAAAACCTTTGGCACGAGGAGTCGTAGAATCGCCCTGCAAATCGCAAAGCAAAAGCCAAAAAATACGGAAGAAACCTTAACCCCTGTAAGTGTTAGAATGTGTGTATCTACAGTTTTTTGTGCAGAACGCGAACTGTTAGAATCATCCAATCTACAATCGGTGACGCTACATTGGCATTCGATCACCTTATCCGCAGTCGAGATTTTTATTAATTCTGTCCCGCTTCGGCTTCTATGAACTATCCCAAGAGACATACTGATTGCTTCTATCCCTCTATTGATTCCTTAGGTCCGCTACTGATTATCCAGAAATTCTGCGGAGACGCCGTTAATGACTGCCAAGTTCAAAGCTTCTTGAAGCCATAAATATCAAGGCTTACATAAACTACGCTAACCTTACCATATTTCTTCTTGGTGATTTAGTCCTAACCAAATGGTACCTTCGCTTGTTTCGATGAAGTCCCAGTTCTCTCATTGCTTTGTATGTAAGTAGTCTGTTCCGCCGAAAGCTCTAGTTTTAGTGTACTTATTTTTTAATTTGCAAATCTTCAGTTTCAGTGAATGTACATACCCTATTATAGTAGGGTCTCTAGGACCAGCATCCAATCCGTTAGGCGAATTTATAATATCGATATGTATGGTTGTAAACGAAACAAACGTTTAAGAAGAACTAAAAAAGTTGACTGAGCAAATAATATTCATCGTCAAATGTTATGAACATCAGATAAGCGACATCACAATGGACAGATCGGGTGACTAGCTCCTTCAATTCCTGTACACATTGCTAACCATGGAGCAAACTTTCCGTCCTCGAGAGCGTGAGGTACGTGCGTCTGATCAGGGTGCAATTGAAAGAAATGAGTGTACTACAAAATTAGATGCATTCAAAGGGCGTGAAGCTTATCCATATGTCCTGATCCTAGAAGATTGTTCAACTGTCTCATTCTAATAGATGATATGACGTTCTAGGCTTACTTTTCTGAATGTTTATTAGATATGTCGAAGTGATTTTATCCAAAATACTTTCCTCCTCCATTTCCCCGCACGAGTATAGAAACTGTAGGCCTGGTATATAGCAAGTTCAGGCGTTCTCGTACCTGAAACGGTGAATGAATTCCAGAAGTGGTTTTTTTAAGCCTTTGGCACTGATGCCGATCTCATCCATTTCGCTGAGCTCACTATTAAATGAAGGCTCCTGGTTAAACAACCATACTACCAATCTGCTACCATAACTAGTTAGATAAGTCTACAATCTTCTCGATGAATTTACTTGTTTCATAATCTACCTTCTTACCCTTTACTTTCTAGCTTCAAGCATTGTACGTCTGTAGCATTTTCACATTCTCCGGAGGTTGAAGAGATAGTGAGTTGATCCGAATGTTTCCTAGTCCTCTCTATCTTGGTAAGTGCCAACGTACAGTGAAAAAGTTGGTTTCCATCACTGATTTAAAGAATGAAGAAAGGAGGTAGTATCGTTATTACTTCCCTAGTTGCATGGACTTCAGTTTATTTATCTCGACTGGATTCAAAGAATCGGAGTGATAATTAAGGGTGACTCACTCTGCACAAGTGATATCGTGAATACGGAACAACGTTTGACAACTGTGTGTATTTTTGGTCTCATCAGCATGTAGCACATCTTGTGTTGTCAATTTCCTTCTAACTCAAGGGATAGAAACCTTTAGTACATCGCCTTGTTAAAAATTTAGAGTAACTAGAAGGCTTTATTGTTCTCCTAGGGTGTTGTGAAAAGCACACATATTTGTCTCACTAGCACTAGAATCTTCATATTATTTTCCTGACTGGTAACGTCATAGTTGTTGGTATCATGAAACCCTACTGCCATCACGGGTATTAAAAATCGATTTATAACTGCCAATGAGCGGTTAAAAACGCTTTAAAACTTTTAATAAGTCGAAATAAATATATTTCTTCTCGAGATTACCAATGTTAATCCAGATAGTCCAGAAGTCACAGAAAAAACAATCCTGGATGAAGAAATATATGTGTCGCTAGACTCGTGATATTGAAATAATATCGAGACTAGAGTACAGGGGCGGCTAATAAAAAGCGAGGAGAAGAGCAGAGTGAGAACAACACGCTAGGTGCGCGAGAGACAGTCTTCAGTGCAGATAAACAAAAGGAGTACAACATAACAGTTATTGTCAAAATTAAGTACAATAGTAAATGTTTATATATCATCAATTGTGTTATCTTCGTGAAAGTACACTAGTACAAACTAAACCAGCCGAAATGTCCCGTTGGGTACATTTTGCCGCTCATGACGCAAACAATTCACACCTTCATTCGACGTCTGCTCCCTAATGTCTCTTCAGAACGCGATCTCAGTTTAATGACCATTGAAAGCCTCCACACCAGCCCGAACTATTTAGGGGACGTAGCCGAAGCCAATGCAACTCTTCACTGTAGGCAAAGACAACCTGGTGCTATCATCTCACAATTATTCTTAACGTTGTAAAAGACATGCACGCTCACACCTTAAGGTTCACAACGTTGTCGTACCCCCTCTCCTAACAAGGGAGACGTAAATCTCTCGAATGAATGCAGAAACAAGCGACTGAATGGGTGATATGGTAGAAGAAAAAAACGAACGAAGATAGACTCAAACATTTCGAATTATTCCCTTTGAATTAAAGGAGAATCAAAGGTGATCTGATCATGGTGGACAGCATATCAAGCATGCCAAACCATCCTAAAATGAGCACCCTAACGATGTATCAACTCCGCCAGTAGAACCTTCGGGGCTACTGCCGGTCCCAAGCCCGGGTAAAGAGGGAGGGGTTGGAAATTGGGTTGGCGACCCCATTCCGTCAAAAACTAACTTGCCAAAAAACGCTAACCAGAAAAAATAATCCAAACTATTTTCACTCTGCCCTGGCAGTTGGAAGAAGAATTGTGACGTCGCATGACGAAAGCCGAGTTCCTTCGGAAGTCTCGGAGCCGATGCCTCTTCTGACAACCAGAGCAACCATTCTTTTAGGTACATGGAACGTTCGCACTTTGTGGGAGACTGGAAGACTATTTCAAGTTGCGGCAGAAATGAAAAGATACAACCTAGAGGTGTTCGGCATCAGTGAAACTCATTGGATACAGGCCGCACAACTGAGATTAGCTACAGCGGAACTGCTGTTACAATCTGGTCATGAAGAGGAAAATGCTTCACATACACAAGGAGCCGCACCCATGCTGTCCAAACAAGCACAAAAGGCACTGGTAGGATGGGAATCTCATGTACCTAGGATCATTAAAGCATCCTTCAAAACAAAGAAAGAGGACATTACAATGAACGTTATCCAATGCTAAGTACCTACCAACGACCACAATTACGACGATAAAGATCAATTCTACAAGAGGCTGCAGTGAATCGTTGAGAAATGTCCAACAAAGGACTTGACCATTCTGATGGGAGACCTAAATGCCAAGATTGGAATGAACAACACTGGATATGAAGACATCATGGGACGACATAGGTTGGGAGAAAGGAACGAAAATGGTGAGAGATTTGCAAACCTATGTGCCTTCAACAAACTGGTCATCGGTGGCACAATATTCCCACGCAAACGCATTCACAAAGCCACACTACTAAAAACCAAATACACCATATCTGTATCAACAAAACGTTCAGAAGGACTATGAAGGATGTGAGAAACAGGAGAGTAGCTGATATAGCTTCAGATCACTAAAGAAGCACTGGACAACGGGACAGACAACATCACAGAAGTTTAATACGGTCTTTCTTCGGGATACCGTAAAACTCAACGAATTCAAGATAGCCCTCACCAATTGGTTCTAGGCCTTTCAGGATCTACTCAATGGAAAGGACACAACACTGGAGAACAATTGGAAAGGGATGAAGGAGGCAATCACTTCAACATGTCACGAAGTTCTGGGTCACAAGAAGTACCATCACAAGGAATGGATCTCTGTTGATACTCTCGCAAAAATTGAAGAAAGGAGCAATAAGAAGGCAGCAATCAATGTCAGCCGAACAAGAGCAGAAAAAGTTACCGCACAAGCTGCATACACATAAGAAAACAGGCAAGTGAAAAAGAGCATCAGAGCTGACAAACGAAAATATGTGGAGCATCTAGCAATAACGGTGGAAAAGGCTGCAAGAAACGGAAACGTGAGACAATTGTATGAAACAACCAAGAAGCTCGCTGGAAATTACCGTAAACCAGAACGACCAGTGAAAAGAAAGTAAGGCAAGGTATTCAGCAACACTGAAGAACAGCGAAACAGGGGGGTTGAGCACTTTAAAGAACTCTTGAATCGACCAGCCCCACTCAACACACGCAACATCGAAGCAGCATCTACGGACCTCCATATCGATATTGGCCCACCAACAATTGAACGGGTTAGCATGGACATCAGACAAACGAAGAATGGCATATCAGAGGGATCATAAAACATTACAGCAGAGACAATGAAAGCAGACTTGGCAGCAACTGCATAATAATCCACGTTCTGTTCAACAAGATTTGGGATGAAGAACAAGTACCAACAGATTGGAAAGAAGGATACCTGATCAGAATACCAAAGAAAGGCGATATCAGCAAGTGTGAGAACTACAGAGGCATCTCTCTTCTCTCAATACCAGGCAAAGTCTTCAGCAGGGTATTGTTAAACAGAATGAAGGACTTTGTTGACGCTCAACTTCGAGATCAACAGACTGGATTTAGTAAGGACCGACCATATACCGAACAAATTGCAACATTACAGATCATTGTGGAACAATCAATTGAATGGTACTCAGCACTCTACATCAACTTCATCGACTACGAGAAGGCATTCGATAGCGTGGATAGGAAAACACTGTGGAGGGCTCTTCGACACTATAGTATGCCTGGGAAGGAAGTGAATATCATACGGAATTCTTATGATGGATTCAACTGCAAAATCGTGCACGGAGGTCAGCTGACTGACTCTTTCGAGGTGAAGACCGGTGTCAGGCAAGGTTGCTTACTCTCACCCTTTCTCTTTCTCCTGGTGACCGACTGGATTATGAAGACATCAACATCTGGAGGGAAGCACGGTATCCAATGGACAGTCAGGATGCAGCTGGATGATCTGTGCTTTGCAGATGATCTGGCTCTTCTATCGCACACGCAACAACAAATGCAAGAGAAGACGACCAATGTAGCAGCAGCCTCTGCAGCAGTACGTTTCAACATTCATAAAGGAAAAAGCAAAATTCTCCGATGCAACACAACATGCACCAACCTAATCACTCTTGATGGAGATGCCTTGGAGGACGTTAACACCTTTACATATCTGGGCAGTATCATCGACAATCAAGGTGGATGCGATGCAGATGTGAGGGCACGGATTGGCAAAGCAAGGGCTGCATTTCTACAAATATCAAGACAGTTCTACTGTATGGAGCGGAAACATGGAGAACTACCAAAGCCATCATCCAGAAGATACAAGTGCTTATTAACAGTTGTCTACGAAAAATACTTCGTATTCGTTCGCCAGACACTATCAGCAACAACGTACTGTGGGAAATAAAAACCAGATTCCAATGGAGGAGGAAATCAGGAAGAAGCGGTAGAAGTGGATAGGACACACACTACGAGAAGCACCTAACTGTGTCACGAGACAAGCCCTCACATGGAACCCTCAAGGCTAAAGAGAATGAGGAAGGCCAATGAACACATCACGCCGAGAAATAGAGAAAGATATGAGAGGAATGAACAAACATTGGACAGAACTGGAGAGGGAAGTCAGGAGAGAGTTCGCTGAAGGAAACTGGTTGGCGGCCTATGCTCCATTGGGGATAACAGGCGTAAGTAATTAAGTAAGTAACGATGTATCACCACCAACATTCCTTTCGAGATAATCCTCAAAATATTGCGCAACAAAGAGCGAACACTGATGCTGGCGTAAATGTTTTCTCATTCAGAGGCTTTATAGCCCAGGTGGCCACAGACCCCTTAGCAGACAGCTTCAAGAAGACAATTCATAAACACGTATTTACGTATGGATTATCTTCACCCTCTCGGACCATCTTTGCCTGATGCTTGACTTGCGACCTGCTATTTGTCATTATTGCCATCTCCTCAGATCGCTAACTTAATTTATCTCTGTTATCTCTGTTTCCTTTGTCTTGTTTACACTTCGGTCCTCTCGCAACATATTTACTACCAAATAATAGACTAAATTTTCTATTTATTTACTTAGTCCGGAAATCTAATTAGCATTAGAATTTTTTCATTACTCTCCGCATTGTATCTAGCTGATCTCCGGCCTGTTTATTTGATAGCTGCTTGTATCCAGAAACCCCTGGAACTAACGTATTGATTCAAACTACAAACAACTGCCAACCGACTAGAATTAGGCGATCGAGTAGCTAGAGTTCCATTTATTGGACACTTCCGAAAAAAACAAGAAACAAGCGTTAAGAAATCAATTGGTTTATACTAGCAGGCGTAAGAGGTACTGGATTCATTGAATAAGAAAGATATTGGATATTGTATTTCAGTAAGCAGAGAAAATGATTCTCAGGGTCGTCGTTATGATATAATGTTACCGATTGTCCGTTACTAGTATTCTAAACAGTTCTTCAGTCCCCATTGTTTATGACTGGATGTGTTTTCCTACACCTGTCAGTTATATTACATTACTAATGGTCATATTGAGGCGCTTCAGTGTGTAATCAAATCTTAGTGTTTTCTATGTATAACGAATGAAAATCTAACCCAATCCAGATGTTTATCTTTCGTACTTTACTGAAAACCCACAAGCGTTTCCTTCATATTCATGGCCGTGATATCCCATCAAATATACCACTACCTCCTTACATCACGAATAAGATCGATCTTTCCCCTTCGGTAATAACTGTTCAGAGTGAACGTAATATTAACGAATGCAAACGAGCAGGTTCAATCATCCGCCAGATATTTGATGATCTCAAGGATTTTATCAAACCTGGTTTGTGTACTCAAGACATTGATGATTTCGTGTTTAATCAGTGTCTGAGTAAGTCAGTATACCCATCACCGTTAGGATATAAAGGTTTTCCCAAGTAAGTTTGCTTTTGAAAATTATATTCGGCATTTTTAGCTGCATTTCGAGGTCCCCTAGCATCCTATTATGAATGAATTTGTAGCCCGACAGTGTAAATGTTCATACCACCCAAGGTGGGTTTCCATTTCTCTGTATTTTAAAGGCGAAATAGTAATATCGTGGTTATGAAATTCTTCTATCTTAAGAGTACACTAATTTAGAAACTCTACACAAAAAACCACATGAATGTAATAACATGTGGTATTTTGAAGGGACGGATAATTTTCCTTCCCAAGTGTAGTCTTTAGTTTTGATCGTTCGTTACTGTTTTTACGGTTATTAAATTAAATTTCAGGTAAAGTCACACCAAAAGCATCTTTCTTTTCTTATAAAGTCTGTTTTTTCCATCAAGTACGTGAGCTCTTTCCCTGTTTCTTGCACTTGAACTTAACAGCTAGTTTCACCTCGCTATCAACTCTTTTCTCCATGTGTTCTTATAACATGTATTTAAAAGCCTCTGTTTCGTAACTGGACAGTGGGGGATAAGTAACTGCTAACACCTAGGCCGTCGATCCTCTGCAGTACGAAAAATGCAATAAAAATGTTTTAGCGCCACCAATCATCTTCAGTCAGTCAGTTACAACGTAGAATTTCGTACGTACGCACATCAATTCAGGTTGCCATGCCGTATTAGCACATAGATGCAACTGTGAGTTCAAACTTCATGGTGGTAGAGATGTTAGGAGTATTAGCGGTAATAGAGAAGATTAGGACGTGAAGATATGATTCGAGAAGTATAATTCAATGACATAACTTTAGAAAGAGAAAGATAGAGATGATGAGGAATTCACAAGGTTAGGATTTCATAGAACACAAATAATAAATGCACCTGCGTCATTGTAAAGATTTTGAGCCATGTTATTCAAGGCCTCTAACCTTCAATTACTATCATCCCGCAGGCCCGAACCAGGTAGTCTACATCTGCCAACATGACTCAATCCAGTTATCAGTGAATTCATGGATTTCTGCCATGTTTTGGTCTGGCCACCCCTAGCTTTCTTCCAACCTTTTCCTACACCATAAAATATAACTCAACGAGGCAGTCGTTGGTTAGTCATACGTAACACATGTCCCAACCACCTCAACTGATGAAGTTTCATTACTTCATCTATTGATTTGCCATCCTTACCTAGCACCCACTTCCTAACAACAGCATTGCTTATTTGGTTGCCCCAGAACACACAAGCAATGCCTCGAAGGCATCTATAATGGAATACTAATAACCTACGAATGTCTTCTACTCTTACCGGCAATATTTCGCATCCATATATGAGAACGGAGCGAACTGCTCCTCAGTAAAATCGTCCTTTGGTGAGCAAACGGCCATCTCGCCTACGCCGTAAGTGACACAAATCGGAAAAAGCCAGTCGAGCCTTCTGTATCCGTGCTGAGGTTTCGTCACACATCAGGCCATCAGCACTGGTGAGATTCCCGAGATAAGGGAAGTGGTCAACACGCTCAACTATTTCACTCCTTATCACTAGTTCGGATGCCGGTGCAAGCCAATCCTGAAGTAAAATTTTTCATATTGAGTGGGATAATCGCATCCCAAACATACTTGCATTGTTGCTTTCGCTACCCACCACCGTTCGCGATCATGGCGTAGGCTTTTTATCAGCCTGCGCTTAATCTGACTTAGCTCTTCGTCATGTTCAGAGCCAGACGGGATGAGTTTCCGAGTATCTGTCAGTTCGGCAGATGCTACTAAGATCCAGAGCTTATCCCTAGCCTTATGGTCTACCTTACTAGCAGATATCACTGCTGTTTCCACAGATTTTCGAATGTCGTTCCAAGCTGCCTCGGCATGGGCATCACTTACATGGCTGTCTAACTGTTTTTCTAGTTGTTTCTGAAATATGTTCCTAGCTATGCTATCATTAGGTAGAACCCTAAGAGGTTTACTTGCGGTGTCTTTTCTATGTCCAGTAAGTCGCAAACAAATACGCGCTCGCACTAGAGCATGATTTGAATCTGAACAAGTGTTCCAGAGCAAGTGGCCGTCTTCTATCGAACCACTCCATCGGTTGCGACACCATAAGATCCACCCGAGTATCATCACTTTTCACTTAGTCTCCCTACTTGAGCATTGAAGTCACCAGCCAATATTACTACATCAGATGACCTAACTTTTTTCAGAAGGCTAGAAAGTTTTCGGTAAGATTCATCTTTTACCTCATCCGACCTGCAGTCAGTGGGAGCGTAGGCAGAAACAATGAAGAGGCAACGGCGTGTCTCGATCTCTACGAGTCCTTACTGTCTTGTCTACTGGGATCCATTTTAAGAGAAGCATCAGCATGGCTTTCAGATACACAGAGCGTAAATTACAACGGTTCTTTATTTGAACAAGGTGAAGTCAAGTTAATTATTCTACTCGGATCCTGTATGCGCGTTTCGGAGACTCAGCTTACATCGATAGCGCGAGATCCTAAAGTCCTAGCTAAGAAAGCCTGTTGTCCTATTTTGTATAAGGTCCGAACATTCAACGCTCCAACAAGTAGTCTAGAACGGGGTTGCTGCTAGAGGTGATTTAGCAACGTGAGAATGTAGGTCACGTTGGTAAGAGGGTTATTAAAAATTAATGGGAGAGTTTGATTGTGGCCAGTCTGGTCCCGTGTGTTGTTACGGATATGATGGTGGATGTCACTTCCAGACTGCCCGCATCGTGGAAGAGCTCCAGATTGTCAGAAGGGGAATCGACCTCGTGACATCCGAAGGAACTTGGCCCTCATCACGAGCCGTCACAACTCATTTAACTGAAGACCTCACTCCCATGCAAGAGTTTAAATGGTTTTATTTTTTTCTGGTTGGCGTTTTATAGCGAGTTATTTTTAAATGGGGTGGGTTCGCCAACAACATGCCTCACCCTCTTCCTTTATCCGGGTTTGTGACCGACAGTCGCCTCACAAGAGCTCCAAGTGGAAGACGCCCAGAAGCACGGAACAAGTTGCTTGCCACCTGGTTATCGACTTTCTCTACCGTAGCCGCTACCTACCTTGGAGTGGCCGTCGGGCTTGTCTATCATGGCAGCTCAATTGAGCTATATTGGTTGGAACACAAGTTTCTCTAGTTTCTACCATGCCAGGCAGGTCGGTTGGAGAACGGTGGGACTAAAAGCAGCTACTCGAGTTCTGAGGGTGAAGTTGTACTGCTGAATGTAGAGAGGTGTGACAGCAGTAAGGTGTTTCCCTCGGTCAACCAACATCTACAGTGATACTGTCTTCTCACAAGGAAGGAAGGGGTTAGAACATGTCGACCCTAAAATTTTCACATCTCACCTGACCCCACGGATTTCTGTCTTCTGTGGTAAGGTCTTTTAAAGAGCGGGGCTTACACTTCCTAGACATCCCATAAAAAATTCGTGCAAGACCGGACCCAAGTAGTTGTCCAATTAGCTCTGCAGTCATGCTTCCAGGTCGCTAGAACCAGAGTTAATCTAGTTTTTTTCTGGTTCCTCAAGAAATACCCTTCCACAGTGTAGGCAGCCGGGAAGGGACATCCACCCTCATACCTATAACAGCATACGATTATCGACTTTCCCAATGAATCATCGACAAATGGGACTCGTTACCCCAACACGCGATTGAAGTTCCATTTGTTGACGCATTCCAGAGAAAGTTGGATCAACTGAGAAACAACCATTGCCGTGATTGACATAGGCCACCCTATCCTTTCAAAACTTAAAATGAGGTTTTTTTTCCACTTAAGTCTATAATTTATCAGTTATTCAATGAAATAATACTAGGCTACCTTTTTTAACCCATCGTATATGTTTTCTCTACTACAGGTCGGTTTGCACGTCAGTAAATGAAGTTGTTTGTCATGGAATCCCAAAGGAATCACAAGTACTAAAACTGGGCGATATCATGTCTGTGGATATATCAGTTTATAATGGTTATGTTCATGGTGATGCTTGTCACACTTTTGTAGTCGGCTTGGATAATCATTCTGATTATTCTAATTCTGAGGCTGCCGAACGTATAAAAACTGCAGTCTACTTGTGCACTGTGGCCCAAAAGTGTCGTGATGCTGGTATCAGCGTTTGTGGCCCAAATGCTCTTTATACGTCAATTGCAGAAGCAGTCACTAAGTGTGCCGATGCATTCCAATGCCGGGTCGTGGTTGGCGTGTGTGGACATGGAATTGGCCAGTTTTTGCATGGACCACCAGAAATAGTACATTCAATTCATGAATTAGCTTCCCAACCACTGGCACGTATGCTACCTGGACATACATTCACCGTCGAACCATGTATCTCTCTTCCTCCCAACAAGTCTGAAGTGCGATTCAAACGCAATACAAGTTTTGCAGTTCCTGTTATTTTGGAAGATGGGTGGACAGTGGTCACAAGTGATAAAGCTCTAACAGCTCAGTTTGAACATACCATCGCAATTACAAATGAAGGTTGTTTAGTACTAACGTGATCTATAGCCTTTTTGTTCTTTATCCATAGATTCATTTTAATATTACGTTTTTGGAGGTGATGTGTAACTGACAATAATCCCTATAATTTAATTGTACGCATGTGCATTTTAGAAGACGCGATACTCAAAAGTATATTAATTATACATACAATTCGCTTTAATGTTAATTCGTGTTTTGAATGTTTCAGAGGAGGTTTTCCTATTCATCAGTACTTGTTTAATATTCTACAGACTATATGGATATTGCTAATGACTCAAAGTGCATAGTTGGGATATATTTATAATGATTCAAAAATCATGCCGTTTATATTTATCGGGACTCGTTCAAAAAACGCATCAGCAACTTTACAAAAGCTCACTATTCTCCTGAAAGTTAGAATTCACCTTTTACCTCACCACTGAGTATATTAACATTATGAAATTTGGTTCTCTAAGAGTAGTTCACATCACACTCAGAACGTTGTAGGACCTAGGACATGTAATCTTACTCGGAGATTGCCACATATCACTAAAACAACATGATTTTAACAAGATCGATATTGAGAAGTTTTAATTAATGGTGATATCTATGGTTCCAAAAATGTCAAATACAGATAATATGATTTAGAAAACGGTAGTGAATAACTCACTAAGGTGTTTAAGGCGATATCGAAGCGTATATTCTAAGGGAATAAAATTTATTAATACAACTACGTTCTTATCTACATTACCCAATTCCTCTAGCCAGCGGTTACGATCACCTCACGGAAGTTAACCAGAAGTATGAACCCCTCACAAAATCACTTCAAAAGTGATATCAATGGTTTAATTGACCCTAGCTTTCTTTCAACTCTCCTAAGCCAACAGGTCGATATAGATGCTCTTTGGAGATACGAAGCCAGCCTAATAGACAAAACTTCACAACAAGTTCGGGATTTTCATGTACTATTCCATATCTTGTCTTACCTAATCAGTTTCTGCCTGTGAATTCCATGTAACCACTAGATGATCATGTTTATCATCTAGTGTTCGAATGTCTGCTATTATGATTACTTTACCACATTCGTGTTCGGTGGTGAAGATACGATTAATGGGGTGCGGTGGTGTTCACGGTTAAGTGTTGGATATGTTAGCTATTATATTCCTAAATAGACTATTAGTATTGCCATAAAGTGTTAAGTCTTTAGACGCTAATAGATATCTCGTGCTAAATTCGTCAGACAGAATTCCAATTATGATTCTAACTCGTGTATGTTATTACTACTATAGCCTCAGTCAGTCAGATGCAACGTAGAACTTCGTACGTAAGTACATCAGTTCATGTCGCCATACCACATCAGCACAGAGATGTAATTGTCAATTCAAATCCAATAGTAGAAGAGGTAGTAAAGGTATTAGGAGTAATCGGAGAGGTTAGGATTAGAAGATATTATTCAAGAAGTATGATTTAATGAGAAAAGTTTAGAAAGTCAAAACTAGAGTTGTTGAAGAACCCAGAAGATTAGGATTTGAGAGAACACAAAGCATAAATGCACCGGTGCCATTGCGAATGATTTTGAGCCATGTCATTCAAGGTCTCTAACCATCGATTATTATCTCGCGGACCTCAAGATGATAAGTCTTTAATTCAACAGTCGTATGATGTTAATGGTTAACGTAACCTTTGGCTAACGTAGTCTGCACTCCTGCTGGTAATTTTTCCACAAACCCTTCTCTATCCACATGCTTGAACTTAAAGAGACATTTACACTTAAGCTTTTATTATATTTCAGTCACTTAGCATAGCAGCTATCTCAAACATTCATTAGCTCACACACACAATTTATTAGACCACATAACACGTCAAATAAGAAATCTTACTTTGTACACAATTATTTCATAAGTAGAAGAAAGTAAAGCAAGCAGTACATAATTAACTATCAATAGTTAAGAAGTGTTAAAATACATAGCAGTGGTTATTTGGTTCACTCCAAGCCCACAATAGGGCAAATAGAGAAACTGAATAACGCAGTTACCTTATTAAGCAATAAAAGTATAAGCAATAGTAATCTGCAAAATTGTTCAAAAATGTAACTGTTATAACATAACAATAATCATATTTCTTTGATAGGGCATGGCAGTTTTATTGATGAGTACAAACGCTAACATAAGCCTTAAAAATATCGGTTACAGATATCAAACGTGGTGACGTATAATGCAGTATATTGTTTATCTAATTATTCTACCAACCACTGTATTGGTTACTACTTGTCAATCGGTTTACTCTAGTTTAGAATCTTTTACTAATTATCGTTATGTAACAAGTTGAGATTCAGGTTGTTTTGGTTTTTTAACGAAACTGTATTGGAATATAGCTTATTCAATAAAAAGATTGCTAAATGGTTCATTACATCTACAACTACTAATGAGTCAGACCAAATACTATGTGAAAATAATTTTTCCTATGGATTTTAGTAGAATGTATTCAAAACTCATAAATGCTCAAGTGTACATAAATATAATTGAAATAACTTGTGAAACTTCTTTTATATAGTATATATGATCATTGATCGATACTTTTAGTAACAACGGCTCCTTTAGCATAAGTTTCCAGCTCTTAGGTGTAAAGTTCATAACATAACCAAATGAACCCATTGTATCATTAAGAAAAAACAATTAAGAGAAGAAGGGTTCTTCTTTCAATTATGTCAAATGTGAGAGCCTATATTAAAATAGACAAAAATTACAAAGTAAAAGACAGGAGAGATGGTTGCCAACTACGAGAATATTAAAACACCAGATATTTAGCGGAATCTTGTCACAAAATTTTTAAAACAATAAATACTGAGTTAGTTGTGCAATGATTTAATAGGTAATGAAAACTTATTGAGTTGAAGATATTTTATAAATCATCATCAAAAGCAACGTAAAACTTTGCACGTAAGTACAGCAGTTCAAGTTGTCATACCACAGAAACACAATTGTCAATTCAAATCCCATAGTAGTAGAGTTAGTACAAATATTAGAAGTAATCGGAGAGATTAGGGTTCGAAGATGTTATTCAAGAAGTATAATTCAGTGGGGTAAAATTAGAGAAAGATAGAGATGATGAGGAATTCACAAGGTTAGAATTTGAAAGAACACAAAGAATAAATGCACCGGCGCCATTGCAAACGGTTTTGAGCCATGTCATTCAGGGTCTCTAACCATCGATTATTATCATCTCGCGGACCCCAACCAGGTAGTCTACATCTGCCAACATGACTCAGTCCACTTGTCAATGACTTCATGGATTTCTGCCATGTTTTGGTCTGGCCGCCCCTAGCTTTCGTCCAACCTATTTCTACAGCGAGAGACAGCTCGACGAGGCAGTCGGTGGTTAGGCATAAGCAACACATGTCCCAACCACCTCAACTGATGAAGTTTCATTACTTCATCTATTGATCTACCATTCGTACCTAGCACCCGCTTCCTAACAACAGGATTGCCTACTCGGTTGTTCCACGATAATCGAGCAATACTTCGGAGACAACTTTAATTGAAAACAAGTAACCTACGAATATCTTCTAATCTCAATGACCATGTTTCACAGTAGGCCATAAGCTGTCACTCGACCAGTGGTGTTCGAGTAGAGATCTTGTATAAGGTTAATGTATTTATTTGGTACACCTTCCAATGGCAAACACTGCCATACAACCTCACGATCCACCGAGTCAAACGCCGCCTTTAGGTCCAGGAAGACGACCATTGTCGGATGCCTAAATGTATTTCTTTGTTCCAGGACCTGTCGTAGTATGAATATGTTGTCTATACAGCCACGTCCGGGTCTGAAAACAGTCTGGTTTTGTCTAGTCTTCTCTTCATGAGCGCTAGTTAGGCGTCTAAAGATAATCGGCGCTAACAGTTTAAAGACTATATTAGTTAGACTGAATATTCTGTAATTGTCACAAGAAGACTTTTGTCCTTTCTTGTAAATTGTGACAATCAGCGACTGAGACCACTCGGATGGGATTACGCCCAGTTCCTAGATTCTAACTAATATCTCGGTCAATCTGGCTGCCAAAACTGGACCACCATCCTTAAATATCTCAGGAGTCAATCTATCAGGACCTGCTGCTCGCCATCGCTCCCGGTTTTCTTATAGCTTTCTCCACTTCATAAAGACTAGGAGGAGTTATGTCGGTTTTCAATTCAGGATGACTGGAGATCGTATGTAACCGAAGTGTGGCTGCAGGTCAATAGAACTGATCCCTAAAGTGTCCTGCCCATCGATCCAATCTCCTGGATTGGGAATGGATAATAAGACAGTCTTTTTCCGAAGTAGTCTCACTCACATTCAAGTTCCTACTGCCGGTTTCCCTTATATGTCCTAATGGTTGCCTACTGTTGCCCATCGCCTTTTCCATCTTCCTTGCTTTCGCTACCCACTACTGTTACCGATCATTGCTTTGGCTTTATATCAACATGTCCCTGATCTGACTCCGCTCCTCATCGTGCTCAAAGCCAGGAGGGATGAGCTTTCGAGCATCCATCCACGGCTTTTCCATAACCTTATGATTTACTTTAATAGCAGATATCACTGCTGTTTCCATAGCCTTTTTGTTATCATTTCAAACTGCCTCAGGGTGGGCATCACGTACTACATGGCTGCTTAACTGTTTTGCTAGTAGTTACTGAAATATATTCTTAGCTTTATTATCATTAAGTTGAGCCCTAAGAGGTTTTCTTGCGTCCAGCAAGCCGCAAACAAATACACACTCGCACTAGAACATGGTCTGAGTCTAAACAAGTGTTCCAGAATGAGCGGCAGTCCTCAACAGAGCCTCTCCTCCGATGGGTTATAGCATTGTGATCAAGTTGGGTCGGCTTTTTGGGGTCACCAGGTCAAAATGGCGTTCTAGCTGATGCTTGAAGTTAGTGTTTGTTAGAGATAGGCGGTTATCAGAGCAAAGACGGTGGCTATTATCTGTCCTATTAGCCGCGACACCATAACATCCACCCAGATGTCTTTCTTATTCTCGGAGTCTACCTACTAGAGGGTTAAAGTCACCAGCCATTATTACTTTTTCAGAGCGATTAATATTTTGGAGAAGTTTAGAGAGGTTTCTATAAAACTTATCTTTCGTACTGTCTGGACTGCAGTCAGTGGGATCGTAGGCAAATACAACGAACAGGCAACGGCGAGTGTCCTTATCCTTCCGTGTCCGTA